GCTCTGCTGAGCACGCCAAGCTTTTTAGAGGCCAATTTGGCCTTACCTTCCAAGTGACCACGAAACTGCACGTCACTCGATATGTCGACTCCGAGGATACCGATACTGGCTGAGGCAAGAAGGGGAGTGCCTTGAAACTGAGGAGATACGACAAAGGGGTTCTTTTTAGCGGTAAACGCGCAAACTTGTGTCTTCTGAGGATTAAATTGGACTAGATTTAGTCGCCCCCAATCCGAGACTTTGTTCAGCAAAGATTCGACTTCAGACACAAGTTTGTTCCGGTACTCAGCGACGTTTTCCCGAGAAATATTGGCACGGCCGGTGTATAGAGCATCACCAGTGCTGTCATCCGCATAGCAATGAATGTTACCAGTTAGCAACATATCATTGATATGCAGAAGAAACAGCGTTGGTGATAGCACACAGCCTTGTGGAACACCAGCGTTAATAGGCTTGTAGTCAGAGCATGCACCGTCTACAACGACCTTGATGCTCCGATCTACAAGAAAGCTGGTGATCCAATTGCACAATTTCTCGGGAAGCCCATAGGAAGGGAGCTTCGAAAGAAGCGCTTTGTGCCAAACCCGATCGAAGGCCTTCGCAATGTCCAGACTAACGGCCAACGCCTCCCCCTTACTCTCTCTGACCTGACTCTACTGCCTCCGCCCATCTATGGGTCAGGTAGACCACCAGCTGATCGACCCCGACGAAAACCGTATTGGCGGTCACTAATCAGCTGGTGATCCTCAAGGTACCGGATGAGCTGGCAGTTAATAATGGATTCCATTATTTTGGAGAACAAGGAGGTGATCGCGATAGGCCTATAGTTGGATGGGTCTGAGCGGTCGCCTTTTTTAGGGATCGGGTGGACAAAAGCTGTCTTCCATGAATTCGGGACTACGCCTTGGGAGTAGGAGTACCGGAAAAGACGCGTTAGGACCGGTGCCAACTCCGGAGCACACGTCCTCAGCACAATTGGGGGGATTCCGTCAGGCCCACTCGACTTCTGGATGTCCAGGGAGAGCAGTGCTTTGCGAACCGAGCGCTGTGAGAACAGCACATCCGGCATGGAGCACTCACACCGCGGGATGGTCGGCGGTGTTTTCCCCCCGTCATCAAGAGTCGAGTTGGACGTAAAAAGGGAGCCTAAAAGGTCGGCTTTGTCTTTTGCGTCATGGGCCAGTGAGTCATCCTCCCTGTGCAGAGATGGTAGTGATGGCTTACAGAAATTCCCTTGGACAGCCTTGGCGAGAGACCAGAATGCACGGGTTCCCGAAGGAAGGCGAACTAGCTTCTCGCCAAATCTGCCTATGTGCTCTGACTTTGCCTTGGCAATAACTCTTTTGAAGGACCTGGAGGCGAAGTTATACTTCTTTTTAAGTGTGCTGGTATTTACATCCCGAGTCGCCGAAGCCGCAGCCCAGGCTTGATAACAGTCCTGCTTACTGCGTAATGCAGTCTTACAGGAGCGACCAAATCAAGGCTGAGATCTGCCTCCGATGGGTACCACAGATGATGGAATAAATAGTTCCATTCCCTGTAGCACCACATCAGTGACAGAGTCAGCAACAGCGCTGGGATCATCCGGCGAGAAGCAAACCCGCCCCCATGGGTAGGAAGCAAAGAAAGACCGCATTCCGTCCCAATCCGCCGACCTGTAATGCCAAACACGGCGGCAACCTGCAAAACGCAACCGCGACGGGAGTGTGAGTGGCACCACACTCCGGATCAGACAACCGAGAGGGGCATCGACAGAAACCTGATATCCGTCCGGATGAGAGGTCAACAGAAGGTCCAACAGGGAAGGTGTGTGATCCTCCACATCTGGAATCCGCGTAGGCGAAGTAACCAGTTGTGTCAGACCATATGCCAAGGCAAAGTCATAAACAGATCTCCCTGCATGATCGGTTAAACGTGAACCGAGCCATTCGGCGTGGTGGGCGTTAAAATCGCCAAGGATCACGATCTCTGCGGATGGGACCTGTTGTAGCATGGAATCTGTAGCCATTTGGACGTGGTCGATGAGTCGGTCTGTTTCGGCATTACCGCTATGGGACCTATAGAGGCACCCGTAGACACGCGGATGGTCGTCGCTGTCTACGCGTAACCAAAGGATGGACAGGTCCGAACCTTCAAGACTGCCGAGGCGTCGAGAACAGATGTCCTCTCTGACATACACGCAAACTCCAGCCGGAGGCACAAAGGAGTGCTCCAATTTGTACCCCGGGTAGGAGAGATACGAAATATCAGCCGGAGAGGAAACCTGCGTCTCGGTCAGAAAGAGCAAGGCCGGCTTCGCCGTCTCGAGATGGTAGTGGACGGCGTTTAGGTTAGAGTGAAGTCCCCTGATGTTGCAGAAATTCACGGATAGCGTGGCAGGGGTCGCCTTGGTGTTCTTGCTCAGTTTGCCCCTAGCAGTAATGCTTTTGAGCGGAATTTTGCCCCCCCCCAGAATACGCGGGGCAGCCTGAGCACCCACGCTCAGGATCGGAATAACATGGTCGTGGATGCTCAGCGAGGGATTCTCCAGGGGTGCTGGTACCCTCCTGGGGTAGTTCTTCGTGTAATTCCGCTACCATGTTGATGGGGGGGGGGGAATTGGGCCTCCGGCCACCTGCACTCGCCAGACGAAACGCAGAATCAAAGCTTCTACTTCACGCCGGTATTCTGTGAGGTCGTGGTACCGGCTCGAGCCGGCCCATACATGCAACAGCAAAAACTGCTGCGTGGCTCTACCACCGTTAAATCGTAGTTATATTTCATCATAGAACATTTTACCACAGGTTAGAAAAAGAGCTATCGTCTTCTCGAAAGCCCGCTAAAAAGACCACGCGTGCGAGAGAGACGATTAATCGCTCAACTCAACTCCTTTTTTATGATAGTATCGCGCAATTTTGTCGCAATGATTAATAACCTGTGTAGAACAGAGGAGCGCGCGGGAAATTTGAAATATTTTGAAACAGTTTACGAGTTATTTTATTAATTGATATTATTGATGGAGCAGTTTAATAGGTCAAGCCCGACTTCTCGGCTTCTATAGAGGCTTCGCTACCGTAAATAAGTTCAACTTCGACCGAGAGGTCAATGGACGGATTAAACTCGGCTGGACAGTGTTCGGGAGATTACGACACATCTTCTCCTCAGGTATACCTTAAAACTTGAAGACGAGATTGTACAACCAGTGTTTTTGCCAGTGATTACTTATGGATCTGAGATGTAGTCCTTCACTGCTGGCCGTGTGAGAGAGGTTCAAGGTCGCTCAGCGAGCTATGGGTTATGCTCGAGGTTTTTCTGTGCGATAGACTTAAAAATGGGGATATCTGCAGTGGAACCAGAGTAACGGACATAGTCCAACGGATTAGTAAGCTGAAGTGGCAATAGGCCGGCCATATAGCTCGAAGAACCGACTACCGATGGGGAAGAAAGGTTCTAGAATGGCAGCCTCGTAACGGTAGGCGAAGTATAGGGCGGCCCCCCACGAGATGGAGTGACGACCTGGTAAGACATGCAGGAAGTCGACGGATGCAGGTGGCTCAGAACCGTGCTAGCTCTCTTTCAACTTAAATACACTGGATTTTTAAGATAGTATATATTTTTTGTACACTATATTTTACATAATATCTATTATGAAAAGCCTTTAACAATTTATGAAAAAAATCATTAATATTAATATTGTTTAATATCTTAATTTTACTAAAAGGGAAGAAGTGCGTCGCCTCTATGCAGGAGTGATACGGTCCGTAGTCTTGTACAGGACGCCTGTTTGGGCGAAAAGGCTGGCCATCCAACGCTGTAGAGCTAAAATCTACAGGGTGCAGCGGAGGATGGCCATACGGATCGTGCGAAGATACCGCACAATATCCTTTGAGGCGGCGACACTCCTGGCTCGCTTCCCACCTCTGGACATACTGGTGGACATGGATGCGAGGATGTACCACCGGACGCGTGTCCTCCGCCAGAGCGTCGGGAGTGAGCCAGATGAGGTGTTCGAAGGGGTCAAGCGGCAGGAACGAATTAACGCTTTCGAAACATGGCGCGCTCGCCTCTCTGAAGAGCGTTATGCGTGTAAACGCGTTATTGGAGCAATCCTGCCGCACTTTGAAGCCTGGTTGCATCGAAGAACAGGAAGACTCACCTACAGACTTACACAGATAATGACCGGGCACGGGTGCTTCGGTGATTATTTGTGTAAGATTGGACGGGAAGCGACGGCGAACTGTTTCCACTGCGGTGAGCAGGTACAGGACTCCGCATCCCATACGCTGGCAACATGCCCAGCGTGGGAACGGGAGCGGACGGTCCTCTCTCTCCCTGCCGGCAGTCGTGTCGGCGATGCTGAGTAAGAACTCCGCGTGGAGGGCCGTAGTTACCTTCTGTGAATCCGTTATGATCCAGAAGGAGGCTGCTGACCGGTGTCGGGAGACGACAGATCCCGCTCGAAGACGACGCCGCCAAGGCGTTCGTCAGGGCCCTCCCCTTGATGATGGTGTTCCTCTACCAGAAACGCGGCCTTGGGGGTTACGGGCACTCGGGGTGGGGGCCTCGAGCGTCTAGTGATGTAACACCTGAGGAGGACGGTGACTTGAAAGTGGTCTCGAGCACCGTGATAGCATTGCGAGTGCTGGGGGTAGTAAGGACTGCCCCCGGGACGTGCTTTAATAGAACAAAGCGTGAGAGGGGCCCCGGTTGCGTTCCGAACGGAGATCCCGGGACCCCTCATATACGCTGATGGAGACCACCGTGGGGTTTTGGCCGGTAGGAGTCCGGCATAACCTTTCCGTTGCTCCCGCAACAGAAGGTATCTATGAGGATTTCCCCACGATAAAAAAAAGGGCGGCCCCCCACTAGATGGAGTGACGACCTGGTAAAAAGAGGGAAGTTTTGGATGCAGGTGGCTCAGGAACGTGTTTTGTGGCATTCCTTAGAGGCTTATGTTCAGCATTGAATTTGTGAAGAGCTGTAATGATGATGATGATGATGAATTGTGTGTTATTTTTCAGGACTCCGCGTGTTCAGTGCCTCAGGAAGATATCGGTCTCGCGTGGGATGGTGTCTGCTTTGCTTTTCTTATTCTCCAGCGAAGACTGTTCCACAGCTATTACTTTTATAGAGTTATTGACGAAAGCAAAGCGACTACCGTGCTTGCCTCCAGGTAATTATGTAACCGACTAAGGAATTGTAAAGATTATTTTTTGTTACCAAAATAAGAATTTGTTGTGAACTTTAAAGGGGTGCGGAGTTGATTGAAGAGTTACGACAAAAACAAATGCAGGTACAAGAGGAACAAGAGGTAAAGATATTAGAGAAAATCAAGGTGAAAATGGAAAGGATAAAGGCTAATCAAAAGAAAATACAAGGTGCAATGACCAAGGAACCGCTACAGCATGATGCTGGTTAGTACATTAATTATTTTTGTTATTATATAAATGAAAAAAAAAATATAACAAAAATACCTACATATTTAGGAGTAATGTCGTGATAACAAATTTAAATACCTTTCTTTGTAAATGTTTATAGTATAGCGTTAAAAAAGTTACGCAAAATATAAACAGAGTATGAAATATATAAAAATAGTTAATATTTATTTATTAGCTTAGAAAACATATGTGATTATTTTTAACTATAATGTTATCTATCTCTTCTAGTAGAAGCTGTTTAATGCATATAGCTAACAGCTCTAACTCCAGAAAACAGTTGGAAGAAGAAAAAAAAACATATTCATTGTGTAAATTTGAACTTTTAAGTATTTTATAGAAAAAATAAGCTAAGCAAAGTGTATTCGACGCACTTTTAATTTCCAGTTAAATCTTAGAATCGAACTAATAGTGTAATCCGCGCGCAGAAGGTTTGCCGATAGCGCCATGATATCGTTCACGGAATCGTTGCTAACGATACTGAGCAAAACGTGCGTTTCGCGGTTGGCGGAAGTAGATGGTTATCGGCAAGCCTTTTGCGTGCGGTTTATAATATTATTTCAAATATTATTAGAATAGTTTTGGCAGCGACTTTTTTTTTAAAAAAAAAGTTAATCATTAATTCAGAAGTAATTGTTTGCCGGTCAAATTTTTGTTGGCCTATATTTAAAAAAAACTATAAAGATCTCTTTTATTTAGCAAAAGGCCGTTTATTTTATTAGCGTTTTAATATCGGTCGTTTCAAAATTTGAATATGTAATCGTACACGTGTATTGTGTCGCTAACAAAAGAAGAAGACGAGGAGGAGGAGAGGCGACAGGGTGGATCGGAGCGGGTGCCGCTGGTGCGCGGCGACTCGGAAGCGTCGCGCGGCTTCCACACGCCCGACAGCGCCGCCTCGCCGCGCGGCTACCACACGCCCGTCAGCGACCGCTCCGCCCCGCCCTCCCCCGCACGCTCCCCGCCCTCCCCTCCGCCCGCCGCCATCCCCGCCCCCGCCCCCGCCTCGCAGGGCGGCCCCCCCTCGCCCTCCTCCGCCCTCATGACCGTGTCCCTGGACGCGTACCTGGAGCCGCGCCGCATCTCATTCGAGTCCCCTCCGTCGTCGGACCTGCAGCCGCGAGCGCAGAGTCCGGAGGAGTCGTACCCGGTGTTCTCGCCGCCCCCCATCCGCCGCCGCCACACGGTGGCCAGCCCCAGCCTCCTACACCGGACCTCCGTCATATCGCACTCGAGTCGCGCCGAACCCAACTCTCATCATACGTGTAACTAATCTTATATCCTGCACGTTTAGCCTCCAATAAATATATCTAGGTGTGATTAGTTTTTTGACAAGTCGCCCGTGAAAACTCGGGATGACGATAAATAAATACACTTTTTCAATGTTTCACTTTGTAAATAATGTAAAGCATCTGCAGGTCTATATGTTTTTATCTTAAAAGTTCATTTTTATTTACATAGGTAGCGGAACAGATTCCGCGACTAGACGACGTGTATACACTAAGCGACACGAAGGTATAGTCGACATTAAGAAAGGCTTGGTGTGGGAATACTTGTAATAACGTACTCTCTGTACACGTTCCTTACAAAAAAAACTTTCTGCTGAGTTATGATTTTTTCGTCATTTCATAAACCTAGAAAATTGAAAAACAACTAAAGTTTTCACGTTTTCGAGGTCCATATGATATAAGCACCTAAATTTCTCTGTCATCATTAATGATTATGTTCATTTGGTTTAACTAATTCTCAGGCAGGTGCGCTTAAAAATAACTTTCTACAACGCCGTGTGGGTGCAATTCCAAACTCTAACTGCGTCACCTCTAAGTTGTATCTGTTATCTGTAATCTAAAACATTTCTCTTGGCTTTATCTTAAGGTGTGAGATTGTAGTGTTGAGTTGTTCGTTTTTCTTGTAGCACGGGTCAGACCGCCGTATAAGCCGCCCGCCAGCCATCAAAAGGGTAACGTTGTGTCTCGAACATATGCTCGCCCTAACATTATGTTACGTTACTAACAGTTAAGCTTCTAGGTGATGGTATGTAGGCAAGTTGGTTGCATTGTATTGGCGGGAGCTGTCTTATCGTTATATAAATCCATTGGATCGAAACAAATGTAAAATATGATGTAAATAAATTATTGTCACATGTGGCAAAATCTTAAGACAGAATACGCCGACGCACCTGCTGCATATTTGTGCTTGAAATGCTTATGGGCTTTTGCACAATCGCTGGCATGATGTTTGTCTGTGTTGTTGCATGTACCCTATTTGTGTATTAAAATATGTCACATGTTCACTATATTTTACTTTTTTTTTTTGGTGGTTTAATACATTACATTGTATCACTTAAGACTAGCTCAATTCCTTGTAACGATACAAAAATGTGTGTATAATTTTGTCAAATTGTATACACATTTTTGTATCGTGATTTGCTAATAACGTGACAGAAAATTTTACACCTTACCTTACTTATTGTCAAAATGAGAACATAATCTAAAATATTTGTAACTTATAACCACAAATACTTAATTTAACAACTACTGTGAAGTTGGAATCTGAGCGCGCTAATATTCAGCTTCCTCACCATGTTTGCAATTCATACAATTGTTGCAGAAATAACAAACTATATTAAAAGTGCTTTTCATATACAGCTGTACGCTCTGGAGACTACTACATGTTTGACGAGTTCGATGACACCGAATTGCATTTGAAAGACGACGAGTCAAGTTCTGATGAAGATGCTCCTAAAGAAATGGGAATTGGAAAGGTAAGGCATCCATTATATTATGTCGAATTTACATATGTGACTAAAATCTATATTATTATGAACATGGTAGTGGTTGTGGTATGCTTATGATATAATAATATATTCTTTGGTATGGAGCATGTTTTTTTAATGGGAAATTTTGTAGTGGCAAGAAATGTCTATATGGTGTCCTTTTGGTTTCAAAACAAGCATGCTCTAATCCTATTTTTATGTTAAAATAGTGTGGGTTATATTAATAAAAAGAATTGTTTATAAGCAATATAATGGTATAAAAACAAGAGTAAAAGAAGAAAATATTTATTAAATTATATATATTATTAGCTTTAGCTAAGGGATGCTTATGGTGACTAACAAATTGTCAGCAATGACTTGCACACCCTTTTTATTAAAACGAACAATTGTTGCTTCCCAGAGACGAAATATTGATAATATGGTCGTCAGTACATTTAATAAAATTATTCGATTACCCAAAATAATAATAAAGTTAACTTTCTTTAGGAACATGAGTTTGGTTTATTTGTAAATTTTGCAAATCCTTCCTACTTTTGACTTATTAAATTCTGTAGAGAATATTATGAACAAATTATACATAATGTAGAATTGTTATAAAACATTTTGTTCAGGCGCTTTCTTTTGCGATCTGTTTTAATCATTTAGATTAAATTCTATTCGTGTTGTTGATAATACACGAAAGTTACTTCCACGTTAAAATAGTATCTACTATTTTCCTTGATAAAAGATAATTGGATTCACACTGTTTTACAAGGAACCCTGTCAATTTAATTTAGTTTGTTTTAATATGTCTCAGCATCATAACTTTTAGAGATATCAGCCGTATTAAAATAAAAATAGTTTAAAAGTAGTTTAGTTTGATGTCTCATTAAAATCGTTTCAATATTTAAGATTCTTCGGCTCTTCATGTTGGCCATTCATCACATTGTATCGAATGTTGTGGCCAATGCCATTGTGTAGAGCGGGTGTTTGTGTTTACATTGATATGTATTGAATTGTTGGCTCACAAGTTGGCGCGAGATCCGTGTGGTGTCGGTTTTTTTACAAAAGATCAAGGGGTTGTGATAGAGATATGGCCGTCGTGTCCACGCGCTTAGTTTGCTACAAGCTCCCAGAGTGATTGCATTTATCTGATTTTAATTTTATATTCACGCGTCATAACTATAGTGTCTACAAAATGCCAGTAACAATGACCAATGAAGAAACTTTTCACTTTACAGAGCCGAAAATTCCTAAAATTCTTTTTTTCATTTCTTTTTGATCACCTTTTTCTTATACACATTATGCCGTGAAAAAATAAACCGCAGCAGCGTTAGCGCCTCATATCCATTTTAATAAATTCGTCCGCACATTGGCCTGAACCGAAGCAAACACAGTGTTGGCTAACGTGAAGAGCTGTCACATGAGGGGGTAAATTTAGCAAACACTTGAGTGAGGAGATTATGTAAGAATACTCATATTATGATGAATGATGAGTGAGGAGATTAGGTAAGAATAAGCAAAGGTTTAAAATGACGTGAGAAGGGTAGGAGAGGGTTAGAGATTAGAGAAGTGGGAAGCGACAGTTGTTGGTTAGCGGTGTGTGCATTGGGCTTGGGTGCGCGGCAGCTGCTGTCGACGGTGATCAAGACGGACCTGCGGCGCGCGGTGTCGGCGCGCCGCGCGTCCGCGCCCGCCGTGCGCTCGCAGCGCCACCTCTCGCTCGCCAGCCACCCGCACTCCTACCCGCACCAGGTAACCCAGCCCCACGCACCCACACACCATCACCATATATTCATACGTCAAGCGAACACTAAGTACACCTTCATAAGCATTATGCGCGCTTGGAAAAGTGTGACATTTGACATAGTTAAAGTTTATATAGATAAGAAGTGTAGAAGGCTAAAATATATATTATATAATATATTGTGTTACAAAAACTAATTAACTAAAATAAAACATTCATTGTTTACGTTCATACTGCCGATGTAAATTGTCAAATACATAATAATCTATGGCCAAACTCAGCGTAGAAATGATTTGCGTAATTGACGCTCGCTGATTTAATTCAAACGTAATAAGACCCAAATCCTCATTAATATCTAAACAGGTTATATTAACTACAATATCTAAATATAAAATGTGTAGGGCTACTTCATAAGAGTTAATGAATTAACTGAAATACCTTCCATGTCAATTTATAGCCACTTTTGCCGATCGCCTACTGGACAGATACAACGTTAAAGAGTTCGTAGAAGGATTAGGCAATCGTGTAGTGCCGACTTCACTCATCATTAATTTTATAAAACTGGATAGTTCTTTACGATAATTTAAAAGATATTGCTAAACCAAGCCTTGGGTTCCTTGAAGTTGGTCTGAAATGGTTTGTATATGTCCTTTGCCAACTTTTAACGAAAAACCATGTCAAAGAAAAGTAGCACTAACTTCTTTAATATTTGCAACTTAAGAAAATAAATGAAATAATTAATTAAATAAATAAAAATAAATTTGCAAATTAAATTGATCTCGTTAATATTCAAAAAGTATTTATTTAAAGTCTTTACACATAAGTACTTTACATTTATACCTTCATATAATATATACTTTGCTTTTTTAGGGAACTATTAATTATTGTATGTAAAATAATGATGCACTTATTTGATATACTTACATGAAAATAAAAGTTAATATTTCCCAAGTTTGATAAAACAGATAATCTTTAATGTTTAATGACAAACATTAGTCAAATAAAAAGACGAAGAGAGAGAATATAAGTTAGTATAAAGAAAAGAATTGAATACAAAACTGAAAGTTTAAAACTGGTTCTAGTTATTAAATCTGCGTTATTTTAAAAATATTTTTTTTAATTTTCACCTCATATCTCAATCACAGATTACTTAGTTAAATTTTATCAATTATACAAGATCGTGGAGATGGAAGAAGAGATAGACAAGTTACGCTAGCATATTATAGGATTATCCGAAGTCCGAAGAGAGAGGGAGGACACGGTAATCCTCGAATCCGGCAACTTGCTGGCAAGTCTCTCGTTAACAACGTTGTAAAGATCGAGAGTGTGTCGACGAGGGTTGCGTACCTTATACTCAGAATCACCAAACGGTATTCGCCGAAGGTCATACAGGTTTACGCACCAACCTCGGCACACCCCGATGAGGAGGTGGAGGAAATGTATGAGGATATCTCTAGAGCCATGCATTCCTCCAAAACCCAATAAACGGTGTTAATGGGAGACTTCAATGCAAAACTAGGCACAAGAGAGAACGGTGAGCTGAAAGTAGGGAAATTTGGAATAGGGCAACGGAGCCCAAGGGGCCAGCAGCTGACCGACTTCATGGAGAAAAAGGGACTCTTTATGCTGAACTCTTTCTTCCAGAAGCGGCCCCACAGGAAGTGAACCTGGTCGAGCCCCGACGGTTCGACAAAAAATGAGATTGACCTCATTATGACGTCCAGACGACAACTGTTCAGTGATGTCTCCGTGATCGCGAGGGTGAAAACTGGTAGCGATCACCGAATGGTTAGAGGCACACTGAACCCAAACCTTAAGTTGGAGAGGTCTCGTCTAATGAAGTCAACGCTCCGTCCCTCTCGTGCTCTGCATCTTAAAAACGGCAAGGCCCCAGGCGAGGATGGAATTACAGCGGAGCTTCTGAAAGCGGGTGGAAAACCGGTACTTGAAGTCCTTCAGAAGCTCTTTAATTCCGTCCTCCATGGTGGCATTACACCGGAGGCGTGGAGCAGAAGTGCGGTGGTCTTGTTCTTCAAGAAAGGTGACAACGCTCTCTTGAAGAACTACAGACCGATTTCCCTTCTGAGCTGCGTCTACGTGCTGTTTTCGAGTCATTACGAATCGTCTCGCGCGCAGATTTGACGACTTCCAGCCTTCCTAGCAAGCTGGTTTCCGAAAGGGCTTTAGCACCATAGACCACATACATACCCTTCGGCAAGTTGTACAGAAGTCCGAGGAGTACAATTTGCCACTATGCCTGGCGTATGTGGACTATGAGAAAGCCTTTGATTCCCTCGAAATTTGGGCGGTCCTGCAGTCCCTTCAGCAGTGCCAAGTTGACTGTCGGTATATCGAAGTGCTGAAGTGCTTGTACAGTAGGGCTACGATGGCTATCCGAATACAGAACCAGAGTATGAAACCTATCCAATTGCAGAGAGGTGTAAGACAGGGTGACGTTATATCCCCGAAACTCTTCACCGCTGCATTGGAAGATGTTTTCAAGCTTCTGGACTGGAAAGGATACGGTATTAACATCAATAGCGAGTACATCACTCACCTTCGATTTGCCGACGATATAGTCCTTATGGCAGAATCGCTGGAGGATCTAAGCACTATGCTCAATGACCTCAATAGTGTCTCCCAACGAATAGGTCTTAAGATGAACATGGACAAAACAAAGATCATGTTCAAAGGTAGTTGTTGGGAGCACTAAGCTCGAAGTTGTTCACGAGTATGTTTACCTGGGGCAAATAGTCCGATTAGGTAAGTCCAACATCGACCGAGAGGTCAATCGACGGATTCAACTCGGCTGGGCAGCGTTCGGGAAATTACGACACATCTTCTCGTCAGACATTCCTTAAAACCTTAAAGCGAAATTATACAACCAGTGCGTGTTGCCAGTGATGACTTATGGATCTGAGACGTGGTCCTTCACTGCTGGCCGTATGAGGAAGCCCAAGGTCGCTCAGCGAGCTATGGAGAGAGCTATGCTCGGAGTTTCTCTGCGTGATAAACTTAGAAATGAGGATATCCGCAGTAGAACCAGAGTGACCGACATAGCCCAACGGATTAGTAAGCTGAAGTGGCAATGGGCCGGCCATATAGCTCGAAGAACCGACAACCGATGGGGAAGAAAGGTTCTTGAGTGGCAGCCTCGTACCGGTAGGCGAAGTGTAGGGCGACCCCCCCACGAGATGGAGTGACGACCTGGTAAGACATGCAGGAAGTCGATGGATGCAGGTGGCTCAGGACCGTGCTTTGTGGCATTCCTAGGGGGAGGCCTATGTTCAGCAGTGGACTTATGAAAGGCTGTAATGATGATGATGAATTATAAAAAACAAACATTATTATTTACTAGCTCTCTTTCAACTTAAATACACTGGATTTTTAAGACAATATATATTTTTTGTACAATATATTTTACATAACATCTATTATGAAAAGCCTTTAACAATTTATGAAAAATATCATTAATATTAATATTGTTTAATATCTTAATTTTACTAAAAATAGGTAAGTAATATTGAAAATCAAATTTTTGCATGGTAATGCTTGTAAATTATTTGGGTATTCCTTCAGTATGTTATTCATTTAGCCTGTTTCTTAGTTTTGTATATGTCTGTTGCTTTGTACATGTTATATATGTAGTTTTTATTTGTATTCTTATATGCTTTTTATTATTATGCTTGAACATAACCATGACATACTTAAAATACTTTATACGTTATTTTTCATATATGTACGGATTTTGTTGGATTTTTGTTTGTCTTTATTTTATTATATTTATAAATTTCTTTTAAATTGCATTGTCTACAAGAAATCTGAGAAACAATTTTTCATGAAACTACTTAGTAACAAAATATTAATTAAACACTTGAAATGGGCACGATCACAGACAATCGGTATCAATATATATGTAGTGCAACTTTTCAATCTTAGATTTTGTTTTAGAGACCATGCGTGCTCAAAACACTAGTTTTTTATTTTTATTAGTATAGCATTAATACATTTCATTTCATACTTTTATGTCTAAGCAGAGAGAATCGATTGTAAGTAGAGGCTTATATCTCATATTACATTAAAGGTTGTTCTCAGTACAAAGGCTTAACGTTCAATGCCATATCTATGCTGTTTCTTGACTCTTTAAATGCATTTTACGGTACAGCTTCGTACTGCAACGCCGCCCGCGGACACAGTTGACGAACGCGACGTGCACCTCTCGGAGCGTGACCGACCGCCCTCAGACATTGACGACTTTGCACCGATACCCGGTAATTAGCAATTTTCTAATTTTACGTTGATTATTTGTTTTTAAGTTGTAATCTGGAAGATACTTGATAGCTTGACGTGCTATATAACGAATTTCTGTTTTATAGCGAGGATTCTTAAAGTAAATAATATGGCTTAAGTTCTTCGTGAAATAAATCTTTAAAATGGTTAAGATTTCGAATAATTATGTAACTGCGACGAAATGCCCGTCACATATTGCAATATTAAGGCGATAGTCGTTATTGTGAGACGTTCTCGTATTATAATTTTGTGTTTTTTTTTTCCAAAAACGTAAGCATAAAATTAAAAAAAAATCATAATACAAACATATCAACTCTTGCCGAATAGACTTTACCAGCTATTAATACATGTATTGCTGTATGTCTTTTTACAGAAAAAGAGTCATGGATAGACAAGTTGAAGTGCTTCACGGATACAGCGTGGGCATTCATTTCAAGCTTCCTAGTGTCGCTGACAAGACATCTCATGAAGTACTCCCGGGACTACCGCTATGTGTCACGAACGCTTTCCATCGAAAAGAAAATACTCAAGGTGCTGCAATTTGTCTTAATATTAACGAATTTGTTCCACTTTCGTTGTCAATGGAATTATACACAAAGGATCGGTGGTGTTTTGTTTGAATATCATGTTGGTTATTTAACTGGTCGCTGGTTTGGGTATTTTACGTCTGGCGTAATCCAGATAATACCGTTGTTTATCATTTGCCTTATGATTTTACTGGCATATCGCATGATACGCTCATAAGACACGGGACGAAACGTGGCGATAGACTCTACGCCCTCACCACACGGCAAGCAACGGTATGATTAATTCTTTTTTGAAAGTTGAAATTTGTGTTTACTACATCTTACAATATCAAAGATAAACAATAATTCAAAATTAAATTTGTTAATGTTGTAGGAAAAGGAAGGCTTCGGTATTGGACTGCGCGAAGGTTCGCAGATGATTTGGGAGCCATTACCAGAAACACTTGCACACCAGTGAGTAAAATTTTTAAAGGGAATAATACTTAAGCTTAGCGATTAATCTAATGGCGGGCTGACGGGATATGAATCTGAAGCTTAGCTAGACTAATCTAAAATTTGGTAGACGCGCAATGAGACTGCAGGCTTTAACTAATGCGTCGGCTTATAGAACGGCGGTAGAACCGTGCTGCAGCTATATTATAATTGTAGTAAGAAGAGATTCGCTCGAAGGGCCATGCTTTCACAGAATACCAGCGTACGGTGATGGTGTTCGAAAACCGGAGACCCTTTTTACTGGAAACGCATTCCATCTTAGTCCTCGAGGATGACAGCGCAATTGTATTTTGATTCTTAATCGAGGATAGATATATGGGTCTATGGGTTAACTTACTATCAGGTGGACTGTGTGCTCGTTTGTCACTATTATTAAAAAAAAAATATTGCAAAGACATATCTTTAATGTATGCGGCGACACTTTGCAGCTTCAATACAGCTCGTATTAAAGAAGTAATTGGGCGGAACCGAGGGTAGAAAATAATCTTCAAAGATCTGTCGGCGTCAAAAAGCCAATTGAAAAAGTTGAAGACCGACAGTGACAGCGTCATTTCCAGGGTACACAAAATTTCGATTCAGATCGAGAAGATCGATCGAGAAGTTTTATGAATAGCTGTACACAGAACCACTTGCAAATATGAGTAAGGGCCCAAGGGCAAGACCCCTCCTACACTATTCCGATGATATCACGGACGTCAGTCTTGGACGGCTCCGTGGCGCAGTGGCTTAGCAATCAGTTGTTGCGCTGGGGGCCGCGGGTTCGAATCCCGCACGGAACAAGTATTTGTATGGCCTACATGTTTGTCTGGATGTTTGTCCTTGTGCAATTTATGTTTGTAAACTGCCTCCACGACACAGGAAAAAATCCTAGTGTGGGGGTAATGTTTTTAAAAAAAAGTCTGAGAGGGATTAGAATGGCTTTACAACAACTTTAAAACGATAAAGCGCCGGGTTAAGATATATTTTCAGTAGAGCTTCTGAAAGCGGGTGATAAACAGATGACTTAAAGTGTTGCTATATTTTTTTTTTATGAAATTAAGGTGACAAGCGAGCACACAGCCCACATCGATGAATCAAATTGCAGATGCGTTGTCACCCCTAAGGACGAAGATGGAATGCCTCGTTTCCAGTAAAAGGGTCTCCGGTTCTGGAACCCACCATACGAAACACAACAGCATTAAGCTGCTATTTTACGCTGGTATTCTGTGAGAGCTTGGTCCTTCTCCAGTCAAACCGACCAAATCGTGCTACAACCGTAAGATAGATGCAGCATAGCTCTACCACTATTTAATTCACCTTTACGGTGGTGCTAAGCCAGCGTCGTAGAGCAGTTGTATGATAATATTTATTCTTCAAGGAAGGTGAAAAACCCAATTGAAGAACTACAGATCGATATTCCTTCTGAGCCTCGTCTACGTGTTGTTTAAAAGAGTCATTACGAATCAACTTGACGATTTTTAGACTTTCGAATAAGCGTGTTTTCGAAATGGCTATATTACCATAGACCACATACATACCCTTCGGCAAGTTAAATAGAAGACTGAAGAGTATAAATTGTCTGATGTTTGTGGAATTTTGAGCGAAGCTACTGTCTCTTCAGCGGTGCCAAGTGGTCAGTCGTCGATATATTGGGGCGTTGAAGTGCTTATATATTAACGCTACGATTTCTATCGGAGTACAGAACCAAAGCACAAAACCTACCCAACTGTAGAGAGGTGTAAGACAGATTGACGTTGTATATCCGAAACTCTTCAACGCTGCATCGGAAAAAGTTTCTAAGTAACTGGACTAAAGGTTCTAAGAACGTCCATTCATGTGGATCCTTTGATTTAAGCAAGTGCTATGGAAATAAACAATTTTGTTAAATAAATTTGTTAAGAGACCCCAATTATCGACGACGATAATCCCGAACGTCGGTTATTCCGTACTTGGCCTCCCTTTCACATTTATGTTTTTTGGAACGATATCATAATTTTTTTTTCATTTAAATTTAACCTATAAAAATTTATTGTTGTCCAAGTTTTTGGTGGGGTTAGTTTCAAGCACTACTGAAACTAAACGACTCATTTACTTGTCATTAGTTATCGACACCGAATATCGATAATTTGTGTTTTTTGAGATTCCTTTGTATACGCCTAAAAATCTACGTTGACGACAAATTTTTGTTTCTAAGTAACCTAGAAGAGTGGTATCTTGGTTTTTGATGAGTCAGTAAGTGATGATATTGCGCTTTTCAAATCTTAATAACTCAAGAACTATATTCATGAATTTTAGGATTCTAGGTATTCAATGGTTATTAGGTATTCAAAATTACAAATGTGTAGATCTAACAGCATTTGAGCTATGTGGATTCGAAAGTGGCTCGAAATTATTCGTGTAAAATATAAATATACGTATACTTTGCCGGTGCGTCGTCCTTTTCTTTTCCGAACTTGGCCAGCACACCGCCTACGTCTAGTTAGAATTAAGGTATCAAGTTACTTAAGCGCTTAATTCTTGGGTTTTTGCAAAAAATATTTTATCTATTTGAACTACATATCAACGCAATATATTTACTTTTATAGGAGAAATACATTTTCGTAAATGTATTTGCTTGTTAAAAGAGTTGCCGTAGTTTCTGTAGATTTATTTATTGTTATTCTGTTAGTTTTCTTATAGATGCAATTTTTTTTAGAATTTATTAGTTAGAAGTTTTACTTTTGCATGCTGCCTAGTACGCAAAGAGATACGGAACAAACTAATCAACATCTTCTGGTGCCTTCTGTTGAAATGGGGTTTGTATTATGCTTACCAATACCGATACGTGTGTTATTGTCATTAAATATTTAACAGTATTAAGTACAAGACATTTTTAATTAATGAGAATTTTCAGTAGTTAATTTATAATATATAAATTATAAGAATTTTTACAATAAAATGTATTTCTTTAAATTAAACATACGTAATTTTTCATAACATGTAGCAGCAAAGTAGAAAGATTTTCAAACTAGCACAAACTGTAGTTGCTCGCACATAATGTAGATGGCGCATTTACGTTTCAACATAATATCAGGAAATAATATGCTACATATTTTTTTATTTACAGTAAGTCTCTAGTATAAATATTGAGTTTATAATATGGTCATTGTCACAGCTTGGAAAGGTATTTTATAAAGCATCACTTGAAATAAAAACTGCAGTAAAAAAGACACAAAGGTGAATAAGAGGTTCATTGGGTAAATTACTAGTACAAAATAAATATTTACGGCTACGCAACATCCATTATTAAATTATTGTTAGTTTTGAGAACAGAAAATTTAATAAAATTCACGGCGTGATGTGTCATTTTTAGAATCTATAGCTTATTGAAAGAACCACGTTCTTTTAGTTTTTTCTCCTTGGCACAAAATCGCATGCGGGTGTAAGACTCGTTGAGGTTTTTGCAGCCGTAAATTAAGTGAAATAAGCGTGCCGGAGATCCGCATCCTGGCGCCGAGCATGGAGCGCGGCCTGGACGCGCCGCCGTCGCGCGCCGCCTCGCCGCCCCCCTGCGCCTCCCCCTCCACGCACTCCGATGACACCTCGGAACACGAGAGCGTGTTTAGTTTACAGACTACCGAAAGGTGGAGTGCTTTCTGTTGACGTGGACTTTAGACATTGTTTTTTAACTCTGATAAATTTACATGGACTTGGCTAATACATAAATTACTTTAATATTATGTTTCTGTGAGGATATCAGCTCCGTCACAGTAACATGAAAATAACTTCAGTTCATTCTATTGATTTAGGGAAATTTTATGAGTTCATTTTTCTAAACATCCAACAATTTAATAATGAAATTATACATTAAAGAATAGAAAAACGATAAGTCCGTCGTTTTGTTCCTGTACATCGTGTAAGGTTCAATAAAGAATAAATAAATAGATGTTTGGAAAAAAACTGTATTACTTATTAATGATTATACATTACTCAATACATATTCATTATCCTTTAAATATATAAATAAATTTTCTAAAAATTATACCTAAATTCCACATCAAAAATTAAGTGTCGTCGCTTGTGATGGGCTTGGCTTTCATTTGATATTCACTTGTTACTTTCTCTCACTTTTATTTTTCACCAACTTATATAATTTAGTACACGGTCATAACCTCTTCATTCGTAAGCCGTGTATTGGAGTAAGTATTGTTGTTTTGTTCTCTTGTCTTGTTTATATCTTCTTGGCAAGCCTCGAATTAAATAAAAATGTATGTGAATGCATTTACTATTTTATTGTTACATTTTTTTTACAATTCTAAACGTTTTCCAGCATCTTCTCGTGGCGACTGATTATTTATTTATCTTGTTACCTACTTCTATTGGTGTATTATGCACGTTTTGCATCTGTAATGTACATGTTTATCTATTGTATATACATTTTAATAATTTGCGTAATCTTGCAGCAAAGACGTGACGACGCTCCAGGAACAAGATGACTCGATGTTCAAGCAGGAGAAGTCGCCGGTAGTGCATCTGGGCTATGCGCTGTGGTACGCTATTTTGGCTCACACTGACATCGTCTGTTATATAATGGTTTTCATTAACCAGGTATTAAACCCAACTTTGAATTTTTTTTCTTATTATTATTTTTTTAAAGTTAAAAATCTTTAGAATCCTTGTGATTTGAAACTCGATGAAATGAAAAAGCGACACTAAAAAGAGACAACCATATACATCTATAGAGAGAATGAGATAGAATACAGTGTAGTAAGCGACAGTAGGCTAATGACAGGGTGCGGACCGCGAACTCAAAAGTTTGTGGGTTCGAATATGCCATTGGACTATTGTCGTGAACCACTCCTAACACAAGCATTTCAACTTACCCGTAGTGGTTAAAGGGATTGTTAGTAATGTTAATACCAGTGTTTCCTATTATTTCGGTTGCCTTTTTGTGAGGTACTTTAAAGATGGTTAATATAAAATATATTAACAGCAAACAGTTTAAAAAATTAACAAATTTATTAAGTAAATAAAATTATATATAATATGGGTCGGCTCGACCGGGGTAGGACAACGCTCTCACAGAATACCAGCGTAAAATAGCAGCTTGATGCTGCTGTGTTTCGTATGGTGAGTGTAGAGAACTGGAGAACCTTTTTACTGGAAACGAGGCATTCCATCTTAGTCCTCACGGGTGACAACGCATCTGCATTTTGATTCGTAATTGAGGATAAATGTAGATGTCTATCGGCCACAGCAACCACTTACCATCAGGTGGACCGTGTGCTCGTTTGTCATCCTTATCCTATAAAAAAAATAATCATCTAGCGTCTATTTTACGTACCACCTTGAGATTCAACCAATTTTGGTTCGATAAAATGACTTTACCTATAAAATGATGTAGATAGCAATTTTACTCGAAATAAAATATTCTTTTGAGTTATTACACTAAAATTTAGTCTAAAAATAAGGATTGTAACATTTATTTTGCAAAAAATATGCTTTTATCTTATATTTTATGTCGCAATTGTGGTTGAAATTTATCCATGCCGTGAAATATTTTTATTTTATATTTTATTTCATGTAAAGTTTCACTTCTACCGAGTGTGAACTGCACACATGATTTTGTTAATTTCGACGTCCTTATTACTTAATTAAATTATTTTCTTTTGTAGATTCAGTCTGCGACGATTCTATCCATTCCTTTACCGCTCATGGTCTTCCTGTGGGGCACACTTACAATACCACGGCCAACTAAAACCTTCTGGGTCACATTAATCGCCTATACAGAGGTATTAATTTTTATTTTTAAAAGTATCTTTTATTCCAATATAGAGTTTAAATTGAAATTAGTCAAGTAAGTAGTAAACTAAAATACTATAATAGTTGGAATAATGTACGTATAATGTATTTTTGTGAAAACTTTCATCATCTACCCGTAAAGGTCTACAGACTACCCCGTGGTAGGCATGGTCTGCCATAATTGTCATGCTTAGTAGACGGACAGACGATTGCTGTAGGTACCGGACGTAGTGCGTTTTGTAACTGCCCTCACTTCGGCGATCTGGGTATTTTACGCTAGGTTTAACCATAGCAATGGAGTTTCCAGAAACAACTTTTTTTTTTAAATTCAATATCATGTAATCCTTTTAAACGTAATTTTTTACTTTTACCACTGTCGGGTTTTTAAACAATTCCAAAGGAACTTTTAGTTTCTTTTTTTTTTAAGTTTTTTTGCGTGAACTATATATATTAATAAATCAAATCCAATACGCACATAACCTCACACATTAACCTCAACTGCCTTAACAAGAGCTTACACCTTTCTAAAAGGCAGACAACGCATCTGCTATTCATGGGCGGCGGTAGTCACTTACCATCAGGTGAGCCGCATGCTCGTTTGCCCCCTCTTCCATAAAAAAGTCCAATACTGAACATAGGTCTTTCTAAGAATATGGCACCTAGCAAGCGTTATTTGGAAGATTTGGTCCATACTTACAAGAAAAGCGGATTCACAAGCGCGGAGCTCCGTCACCGTCAACATATTACCTCGCACTGGTTATTCTGCTTACCATACTTACCATCTTTGTAGTTTTTGTTTAACTGAATCGTGTTTCTTTTAAGGTTATTGTGCTCATAAAGAGCATGTTTCAATTCGAGATCCTTCCGTGGAATCAGAAGGCGATACCGGCCAACATGCCATTCACTGCTCCAAGGATAATCGGCATTGAGAGAAAATACAACTACGCTCTCTACGACTTATTACTTCTGCTCATCATATTTTTGCATAGGTACCTCGTTCTTATTTATTAATATTCTGGTTTACGTTTGATCTTTCTATACCTTTGTCCTTGAATATAAGTCATATAAAATTAATAGTTATAATCAAAGCTAATAAAAAGTTTTAAGAAATTCTATAGCTAGGCTAGGCGAGTGGGAATCGAGCACGAATTTTGATTGTTTTTTTTTTAGATATGGTTTATTAACTCACATCGTCCAATTGCCACCAGGTGGACTTTGTGCAAGTTTGTCTCCCTTGTATAATTAAAATACTCGCCCGTTTGAATGTGTCGCTTAGACAATAAGATCATAGGGAGGCTAGGACACGGTGCTACAGATGTGATGGACATCCACAACCAAACCTAATAAGCAACAATTTTTTTTTATATAAATGTTGGTTATGTCTTCCATTAGAACCATGTCGGTGCCGGATACTTAAGGCGACGTGGACGTCGCATACAATACGTGGTAGACTCATGCTGCATCTATATTAATAGTATAGTTGTAGCACAAATGGGTCGGCTCGACCGGGGAAGGACCACGCTCTCACAGAATACCAGTGTAAAATGGCAGCTTGATACTGCTGTGTTTCGTATGGTGAGTGTAGAGAACCGAAGACCTATTTTACTGGAAAAGAGGCATTCCATCTTAGTACTCACGGGTGACGACGCATCTGCATTTTGATTTGATGATTTTTATTGAGGCTAAATGTAGATGTCTATGGGTCACAGCAAGCACTTACCATCACGTGGACTGTGTGCTCGTTTGTCACCCTATCATATAAAAAAAAACATCTTTATTTTTATAGCGGTCCATCTGATAGTAACTGGGCCCATAGAGACCTACAGGTATTGATTAAGAATCAAAATGCAGATGAGTTGTAACCCCTTCGGAAAGATTTAATATCTCTTTACGAGTTAAAAGCGGTATCCAGTCCTCGTTACTCACCGCAGAAAACACAACAGCATTACGCTTTTTTACAAGCTGGTATTCTGTGCCATCATGACCCTTCCCGGGTCGAGCCTACTCAATCATGCAGTCACGTAATATGTATTTAGTTTTAGGTACATATTAATCTTAAACGTGTTTATTTCGCAGGTTTATGCTGAAGTCTTTGGGTCTGTGGAAGGAGTCATCGCCGGAAATGGAAGTACATGAGGACATGGAGTACGAGCTGTCAGCGGAGGACACGCGCCTCATCGTGGAGGGCCGCGGCGCTGAAGTGGGCCGCAAATACGCAGAGCTGCATCACCGCACCGCACCGTTAGTATCACACCTATGGTACATTAGTACCTTGGAAACGCCTTTGATATCCGCTGATGGCGCTGCCCGTGCCCGCAAATATGCTAGGATTTTTATACTTAATATCACTTATTAACATTATTTACACATTTAAAAGTGAAAAACATTTATTGAACAAGATCATTTTTATTACTACAAGAAAAAAATACATTAAATAGTGTTGCACTGCCAAATATTTTCTTGACACTTTCTTTTTATAAATGTTTCCAGTTTTCGATGGTTAAATTTAATTTTGTGGTTGTGTACTCGCATTACGATTAACAATTTTATTTAAAAAAAAATGAAACAAACATAAGCATGGCCGTCACTTGAAATAAACTTTATGTTGTAACTCATATAACTATAACACTAATTCACCATTATAGATATATTTTTCGAAAACGGCACTTAAAATAGTACTTTAATCTCGCCCGCGTTAACTGCATGTATTGTACAGCAGACTTAGTCGCAAGGCCTCCGTCGTGCCTATAGTAATGTTATCTGTTTTGCTAAAATTCGTAACGAAATATTAAAAGAATTTATTATGCAAATGCCTTGTTTTAAACAAACTTATTATGAAATAGATCAATATTTTCAGGATAGATATATGTATATATAGGGTTATTTTTCAAAGAGTATCCAAAGGAGATGAACTTGATTCCATACAAGCTTGGACCCGGCATGAACGAATATCAAATATGTCTTATTTTGAAGATTTAAGCTTTTGCTACTTATGTCAAAAAATCATATTTTTGCAGGATCTGGGGATTTTATTTTATGTTTTATGATTTGTAGGTTATATAGTAAAAATCAATCGTTCTTATGATAAGTTGTTTGATAAAATTGAAAACGACACAAAGAATGCAGTTTTGTAGATATTGTTAAATAAAGTAAAATAAAATCTAACCTTTTTTAATTGTTTAATTATTTTCTGCAATTATTAATAAAATGTCGTCTCGAAAAGCAGCCGGAGGCTGTACATTGTCTGCTCTATTTCTCTCAAAACTTAGTACCACATTATTGTCATTATGTGGGCGCAAAAACCTACTATCCTGTGACCCAAGAAAAAAGCCAAGGGGCAAGTTAATAAATCCTCGAAAGTAAAAACACGAAATCTATCCATAGATAAATATATATGTAGCAAGCTAAATCTATCTACAAAACAGCCACAATACCCAAGGGGAATGACAATTTGAAACTCGAAGTTACCAAGTTAAGTATCCTTCGGAATTGGCAATGATCAATGATCATACAGCCTATTCAGTCGTGTCAGATAATATTCAAATGTTTTAGTTTAATAACATTTTTCATCGTTTTTCGTTTTCTAAATATATTTCTTTTTAACCTTTTCCAAAATATTTATTTAAATTATTATTTTATTTATTAAAATATTATTATATTTAAATCAATTATTATTATTAAGATTTTTATATAATATATAAAATTATTTTAAATATTTCTATCCTTTCGTACTAAATTATTTTATTAATTTTAAGATAGAAACCAACCTGGCTTACATCTGTTTGAACTCCACCGGTTTTTGATTCGCCTCAATGTTTCAATATTATTATTTTTTTTTTTATAATGAAGGCTATTCATTATAAAAGTAGCCTTCATTATATATTGCCATTGACAAAACAGCAAAATATTTTAAAATATTTTGTTTTTCCTATAGTAAAAGCATTTGCTTTCGTTTTCTAGTTTAATTTTTTTATGATTGTCCCATGTATTGCAGAAATAAAAACCCATTTATTTATGCTTATAATTTATCGTTTTATTACCTACATATTTTTGTATAATTGTTACGAACGATGTAAAGCACCCAATTTCATACATCTCCTTTTAAAGTTAAATTCAAATATATAAATAATGATATACCGCTATTGCAGTTTTTGAAAATACGAGTAAATAAGGCTTCTATTTTAATTTGGAATTATCCCAAATTGAATGCGATTTATGGGCAAAAACGTTTTTGTCTACCGATCGACCAGCCTTTATGAATGTTGCTTGCGCAGTTAAACCAGTGAAAATAATGCATTACCACGCATTTTGCATTTAAAAGATAAAAAGTACAAAATTATTGAATTTTTTTTAATTTATTTTTCTTCACCATTTGCCTATATTAATTATTCTGAACCTTCTTTGCAAATTTGGTCGGTTATTTCAAAATTACCTTGTATAAGAGTTGCTTATGTATAGTATAAAATAATTATTCGTTTAAAATGTTGACCCGAAGCATTCAGATGTAATTTTGTACGTCTAAAATCTAAATGTTTAACTAAGGCATAAATATTTACTTACAACAGCAAATATTTTATTTTTTATTTTCGTTGTATAAACGTAAAAATAGGGGAAAGAAGAAAAACAAAAAATTAACACTATCGGTTACGTGCACGCCTAGATAATATTTTTAATGTCGTTTTTAAATAAAAAATTAGTAATTTTTAATTAAAATTCAATAAGAAATTGTAAAATTTTGTAAAAAAACACGCTTTTTTTTAAATTATATCATCCTATCGAGATCAAGTTTTATTGTAGTCTTAACAACATTTTTACTGGTACGGTAAGGCATTTTATCTTAGTCTATAGGGTTGACAACGCATTTACATTTTGATTCTTGATCGTGAATAGATGTAGGTGTCTATCGGCCACAGCATCCATCGGCCATCATGTGGACTGTTGTCATCCTAATTTTATAAAAAATATTCGTTGTAAGAGAGCTACACAAACGACTTCAAATATTAAACCTCGCAAGTACGCCTATTTCTTCTGTCAATTATATTACTCTTCTTCAGCTTGTAAAAGTTTACTGCTGGACATGGGCTACTCTCGTCGTGGAGAGAACAGGAAAAGATAAAAGAGTTGGTGGTTTGGAATTGAGCTGGTGGAGGTTAGTGGCGGTCAGTATGTAGAAGGGATAGTACATGGTCAGTTTGCGGACCAGGCAGTGGTGCGCGCAACGCGCGGCTGCGGCGTGCGAGCGCCGAGCGGGCGGACGACGCGCCCCGCGCCCCCCGCACCCCGCGCACCCTCCGCATGCCCCGCGCGCCCTCATATTACGCGCGCCTCCTGTGGAATCGTCTCGCTCCAACACGCAATCAAACGTACCATATACACCTCCATAATGTCGTTTATAATAATATTCTCGTTATTTGCTCACCTAGCGCACACGTGCAAACTAATAAACTTACTTCGTATGTACGTCTGTAATGATATTATTTAGTTTGTAATATTCTTATGTATTAATCGTCTAGTATCGTTATAAGTCGTTTATGTAGTAGTTTAGAATAAAACGGGTTATTATATTTTTATTATCTCATACTTTGTTCATCTTGTATCCTTATAAGTTGTAAGTAGTCAGTAGTATATTTGAATATAACATTTTATTCATACTGTAATATACAGCGTTTAACACTTAAGACGTTATGTGGTTCCAATTAAATGTACTGGTTTATCAGTAAGTTTTTGGAAACGGATAAGTATATATAAATTGGTTTTAATTTTCAACTTTATCGCCTTTAAAGCAAATACACCTTGAATAGCGTTTTGTATGTTGGTTAATTCTCTTGGAAAAAAGGGTTCATCCTAGGACTCAAAGAAGACCTCTACGGCACACATCACCTCATCATCGCTGTTGAATTTTATAGCACGCGAGTGCTTTTTCCGGTGAGTAAAAAGGTGAAAATCACTCGGAGCTACGTTTGGAAAATATGGTGAATGCTACATCAACTGAAACCCAACAGTTATGATGACAAGACCTGCAACATCAGATCGATGGGTAGGAACATTATCATGGTAAAAAACACTCCAGCACGCAATTTTCCTCAACGTTGATTCTTGAGTTCTTCGCGTAGTTTTGGATTATATTTACATAATAATCTCCGGTTATTGTCTCTCCTTTACTTAAATCGTCGATCATTATTATACCTTCCGCATCCCAGAAGACAAAAATCATTATTTTTCCAGCGGATGCAGACACCTTGAATCTCTTGGCTGGTAGAGAAGACAGCCTTTTCTACGCCTTGTTTTGGTTTTTCGTCTCCGGGTCAAAATGGTGTACCCACGTTTCATCTACCGTTACGAAGCGAGCGCAAAGTTAATCTGGATCTTCTTTGTACATTTATTGCTAAGTTTAGCTTTGAAATATCAACTGTTGCTTTCTTTTGGACGTCTGTTAACATTTTTGAATTTTAAGGTATGAGTTAAAATAAACTGAATTGTCCCAAACAGAAGCTTTGAAATCTCAGCTAAATAACAGATGGTCACACGTCAATCTACCTTTACAATTTCTTCGATTATTTTAAGTTTTCTTGCTTAGCGGTCGTTGTTGGCCGCCTTGAGCTAGTGTTGTCATTGCAAGCGACCCGCCGCGTTTAAATTCAAAGCATCAGTATGCCACTGTAAATAAAACGAAGCATTGTCTGCCAAAGTAGACTGCAGTTCTTCAAAAACAACTTTTGTAGAATTGTTTTAAGACAGAAATATTTTATAACCGCACGAAGTTCGAGTTCCTCCATTTTGCATACGAATCAAATACCCGCTAAACATGAAGATTCAAAAAAATTGGGTATACTTAGTTTTAATTTAGTTTTTTCTGTCCTTGACTACTAACGAATTTAAGATTCGAAAAAAATAGAACGCATTACTATAATTCATTGATAAGTGTCGTATTCCGAAAACTTATTGATCAACCTAGTATTACTTACTGTTATTGTAATGATTAGTTAAGTGGTAGAGTGACTAAAAGGAAAGTAAATAAATGTAACCAATAAAAAACTAACACTATTATGATTTTTAGGCATCTTGATGTTGACTCAAACGGAGTAGTGAGGCAACCCATTACGGATTCAGTAGCTGTGCCGCAAGAGTTTGACGAACGACAAGAAGAGGAACCTGGACCCTCCAAACCATCTGATGACGACCATTACAAGTTAGCTCTACTGAACATTAATAATATTTTAAAGAAAAATATAAACTGTTTGTAGTATTGGTGACTTTAAAATGTAAAAATTTTAGTAAAGTAACTTAATGTATATCCTATTGCTTAACACATGCTACCGTTCATATATTCATTTCTGAGTGTGTTTATTGAGGCATTAAAGAGTTCCCGGTGCTGTAAAACTACGTGTTGACATACTTCATTTGCGCTCGAATTATCTTTTATGTTCACAGGCATGGAGGTTTTCCTACGAAGGTTTTGTTCACTAGTGATGATCTCTTACGCTACCACGTTTCCATTTTTAACGCCATTATATTTTTGATATATCGTCTCAATACAATTTAGAAATAATTTAATAGTATTGAAGCGTGTTAATATGTTACACGTTTTATCTTGACCTAAAATAGTCCAAAGGCTAGCATTATGAATTGTGAAATTAATTATATTCCTAAATAAACATAGCTAATGTTATGAGAAATAATTTTTCAGGGTTAATGACGATCAAGAACCTATAATTGCAGTAACGACAACACTAGAAGACACATACAAACATTACCCGCAAGTGATGTTGCTATCGTAAGTACTTTTTATAGTCTAAATATTTACATATATATACGGCAATAGGAAAAAAATCTAAGAATTTACAGAACTGTCTGCTTATGTTAATTAAAATAATAGCATAAAACGGAATGCAAAAAGTAGGATTTTTTTTGTTTTTTTTTTTTAGTGTTACCCCACACTTGGATTTTCTCCTGTATCGTGGAGGCAATTTACAAACCCAAATTTCACAAGGACAAGCATCCAGACCCGGAACAATCATTTGTAGGCCATACAAATACTTGTTCCGTGTGGGATTCGAACCCGCGCCCCCAGCGCAACAACTCATTGCTAAGCCACTGCGCCACGAAGCCGTCAACAGTTGTATCTATAATGCGTATTAAAATTTTAGGAGAGCTATGTAAATAATAAATGAGCACTTAAAATACTGAGTAATTGAGTTGATTACATTAGATTTCTTTTGCCATTTCCTATCCATCCCAATCCAATTGTGGCGATCAATTATCTTACGTGGCGTGGTGGTGACCACACGGCTAATTATAATTATATTAGTTCGTATAACGATGTAAATGCCTAAACCGGAGATTGGGAGAAGCGTCAAAAGTTGAGAAATCAGATGCTGCGGTCGCCAATCTGCCATGTATGCGTGGTGACTTCTGCAAATTTTCATTGATCTATTTTTTTTTTATAGAATAAGGATGACAAACGAGCACACATTCCACCTGATGGTAAGTGGTTGCTGCGGCCCATAGACATCTACATTTATCTTCGTTTGCCAATTAAAATGCAGATGCGTTGTCTGCCGTGAGGACTAAGATAGAATGCCTCTTTTACAGTAAAAAAGGTCTCCAGTTCTCTACACTCATCATACGAAACACAGCAGCATTAAGCTGCTATTTTACGCTGGTATTCTGTGAGAGCGTGGTCCTTCCCCGGTCGAGCCGACCCATTCGTGCTACAACTATACTATTATTATAGCTGCAACATGGTTCTACCATCTTATTGATTAAATCGTAGTAAATTGTTGTGTGTCCATGAACAAGAAAGAGTTTTTAAAGTTGTAGAGCAACGCTTCGGGTGTAGTATGAAAGGTCAACTTGGCCAAGTATTCTTTCCTGATTGCGGTTCTCCACGATCTTACAGAATACCAGCTTTAAAAAGTAGCATAACGCTACTGTATCGACGTTATGGTTAGTGTAAAGAACTGGAGACCCTTTTTACTACATTTTTCATAAACTCCCTTTATTCTTTGTTTGACTGTTCGGTATAAATTATGAAAAATTGGTTGGAAGATGCGTTAAAGTGCCAACAATTGTATTCTATTCCCTGGACCTCGGCCGGCAGGGTGAAGCGCTACCTGCGTCCGTCGCAGCGGTTCTTCCGGCGCATGCTGGCGCCGGGCGCGCGCGTCACGGCCGACGTGTACGCCTACATGTTCCTCTGCGACTTCCTCAACTTCCTCGTGGTCATCTTCGGATTCGCCGCCTTCGGGGTAAGCGCGTAAAATTTACTCTCACAATCATTGAAGTAATACGAATATGGACTAGGTATTACAACAGTCACCGCGAATAAAATCTATATGGCTCTAATACGTCTCGGTGTCTCTTCTGGTACGTAGTACATATTACTTCAATACTTACAATAATTGTATACGACTAAATATATAGCTTTTTTATCGTACACAAAATCAATTAAATAAAATCGGTAGTGTAGCCACATGAGTTTTATTTTACTTTCATAATCTTTACATTAGATGTAGACAATTCACTTTATACAAGGCGTATGTCGACCCTGTGTCAATAAACATTTTTTAGATAAATATAATTTGCGTTACACATGGTGTAATTCGTTTGTAATAATACTAGATTTATCTTGTTTGAAATCTACCTCGTTGATTTTGGCATCAGATTAAAATAAATTATAGTATAAAGGTGTGTCAGCATCGTGTCAAATGGAAGTCCGTAGTCTCTGTCTGCCCCTCTGGGTTACAGGCGAAAGAGTATATTATTATATTATGTTATTATGTATAGCCCTACAAATCATAAGCCTTCAACCCTAAGGATAAATTAAGTACTCCGTGAAAATTATAATTTTAAAGTCCCAAGATATACAGGCTGTCTCAGAAGTCGATGTCAAGCCGGAATCGAGTGAAAGGTCAAGTCATAATAGTTAGCAAAGATTTTTTTTAAATATTATTCTGTTAACTATTATGACTTGACCTATCACCCTATACCGCCTTACGTCTACTTCTGGGATATTCTATATAAGTAAAAATATAACCTTTGTTCTTGTCTTGTTAAGACTTTCTTAAATTCGATAGCGATTTATTATTATTATTCGATAGCTTAATTTTTAGGAGTTAAAAAAACTTTTTACTTAAAATAGTGTGTTCCTCATAGACGCACCAGGGCGACGGCGGCGTGCAAGCGTACCTGGAGGAGAACAAGGTGCCGATCCCGTTCCTGGTAATGCTGATCCTACAGTTCGGGCTCATCGTTATCGACCGCGCTCTCTACCTGCGCAAGTTCATGCTCGGCAAGATCCTCTTCCAATACGCACTCATCATTGGTGTACACGTGTGGATGTTCTTCGTGCTACCATTCATCACTGAAAGGTGTCTTGGATATTTGCTTAATTTGCTTTATTTTTTGAATCTAAACGATTTGATTCCCGCAGTGAAATCACGTCAAATCAATAATTCGAACTAAAGTAGTAGTTCCTGTAAAGTAATTTTCTCTTTAGTGATTATAAGACAAAAGAGATCTGTAAAACAGTCGGCCTTATCCTAAATTAATCTTAACATTATTCTCAAAAAATCAGGGCAAATGCTCCATTATTTCTATAAAAGTGGTTTAAGTAAAAGTTGTGTTCATAAATATTGATTACAGACTATATATAATTATATCCATTGAGTTATATGTACTACGTACTAGAGAAGCCATTCCAAACAAAAATTGTATCCTACTCTATGTCTTCGCGCATGCGCAGTAGTAGTAGTCGCGGATGCGCGAAGACGTTAATTTGATATAAAATAAGATATTAATATAAAATAAATATAAGAATTTAATATAAAATATCTTAATTTAATCTAAACAAACATTTTTAAATAAAATGTAATAATTATTATTTTATGGAATTCACAAATCTTCAATTTACGCAAAATTTAGTTTGTATGGATTGCACTACAGTTCAGTTGAACATAGTCAATGTTCGGAATGGCTTCTCTAGTACGTAGTACATATAACTCAATGATTATATCACATTACAAAAGTATGGTATAATATAAGTATATAGTCACAAAGTCGTCAAATATAGATATGAATTAATTTTAAATGTTTTAATTATATTTCGCGTAGGACGTTTAACGCGCTGCTGCCGCCGCCAATGTGGTACATGGTGAAGTGCGTGTACCTGCTGCTGTCCGCCTACCAGATCCGCTGCGGCTACCCGCGACGCATCATCGGCAACTTCCTCTGCAAGTCCTACCGCTTCCTCAACATGATCTTCTTCAGAGGGTGAGTACGCGCCCATCGTACGGCTACTGTGATATTCAAATTTGATTTCTAAGCATTTTTTTTTAAATTAAATTTTACTATTATATTTGTCTAATTAATATCATATAGAAGAAGAAACAAATTAAAAGAATGAAAATAAACACCATAATATTTCTTTTCTAATTAGAACTATTTCTAAACTAATTCTAAATTTAGAACAGGTAATTAATACGTGTTCTAAATTAGTGTAGTGGCGGGAAAGAATACTCACTGCCCCATATCTTCCCGTGGGTGTCGTAAGAGGCGACGAAGGGAAACTGAGGCAGAGGATGGGCAGCAGCATCTTTCTGATAACAGCAAAACAACAATAAAAAAGTGCGGTTGCCAACCCGCTCGCAAAGCGTAGCAACTAAGGCAATATACCCCCATGAGAGTAACGAAGAGACGGTCGCCAGTCCCCGGCGGCCCCGCTATTCCTGGCTACAGTGGGACCCTGGTAACGGCGGGGCAGGGGGTGCTAAGTATCACCGGTGGAGTTTCGGTTGCCACCTACGATGACTCGACCTAGCAACTTATAACGCACGCACCCTGAGGACTGACGAGAAGATCCTGGAGCTGGATAAGAAGAAGAGATAGACAAGTTGCGCTGGAATATCATAGGATTATCTGAGGTCCGAAGAGAGAGGGAGGACACGGTAATCCTCGAATCCGGCAACTTGTTCTATCACCGGGAGGGCGACCATCTGTCCCAAGGAGGTGTCGGATTTATCGTCCACAAGTCTCTCGTTAACAACGTTGTAAATATTGGGAGTGCGTCGACGTTATACTCAGAATACATTATACTCAGAATCACCAATCGGTATTCGCAGAAGGTCATACAGGTTTACGCACCAACCTCGGCATACCCCGATGAGGAGGTGGAGGAAACGTATGAGGATATCTCTAAAGCCATGCATTCCTCCCGCTATACGGTGTTAATGGGAGACTTCAACGCAAAAGTAGGCACAAGAGAGAACGGTGAGCTGAAAGTAGGGAATTTCGGAATAGGGCAACGGAACCCAAGGGGCCAGCAGCTGGCCGACTTCATGGAGAAAGAGCGACTCTTTATGATGAACTATTTCTTCCAGAAGCGGCCCCACATGAAGTGGACCTGGTCGAGCCCCGACGGTTCGACAAAAAATGAGATTGACTTCATTATGACGTCCAGACGACAACTGTTCAGTGATGTCTCAGTGATCGCGAAGGTGAAAACCGGCAGCGATCACCGAATGGTGAGAGGCACACTAAACCTAAACGTTAAGTTGGAGAGGTCACGTCTAATGAAGTCAACGCTCCGTCCCCCTCGTGCTCTAACCCATAGTCCTGAAACCTTTCAACTCGAGCTACGAAACCGTTTTCAGTGCCTGGAAGATTGCAATGCAGTAGACGACATGAATGACAAGCTCGTGGAAACTGTCCATGCGGTCGGAGCTAAGTTTTGCAAGACCCGCCGCAGAAGAATACAGAAACTCTCAGATCACACTCTTAATCTCAAGGGCTGTTAGACTGGATATGAAGTTGTAGTCTTCAATAGATTTGACAGCATACAGGCAACTGAATAGACAGATCTCCAAATGCATGTGGCGGGACTTACACAACTTTAATACTGCTTGTATTGAAGAAGCGATCGAGCGGAACCACGGCTCCAAAGTCTTTGCTAGAGATCTGTCTGCTAGAAAGAGCCAACTGTAGAAGCTGAAGACTGAGTGTGGCAGCGTCATTTCCGGGACACCTGAGATTTTGAGTGAGATTGAGAGGTTCTATGGGCAGCTGTACACATCATCGTTAGAGCCACATGCAAGTGTGAGTAACGATCCAGGAGCGAGTCTTATCCGACACTATTCCGATGATATCCAGAACGTCAGTCTGAGCGAGATTAGAATGGCTCTCCAGCACCTTAAAAACGGCAAGGTCCCAGGCGAGGATGGAATTACAGCGGAGCTTCTGAAAGCGGGTGGAAAACCGATACTAAGTCCTTCAGAAGCTCTTTAATTCCGTCCTCCATGGTGGCATTACACCGGAGGAGTGGAGCAGAAGTGCGGTAGTCTTGTTCTTCAAGAAAGGTGACTACGCTCTCTTGAAGAACTATAGACCGATTTCCCTTCTGAACCGCATCTACGTGCTGTTTTCGAGAGTCATTATGAATCGTCTCGCGCGCAGACTTGACGACTTCCAGCCTCCCGATCAAGCCGGTTTCCGAAAAGGCTTTAGCACTATAGACCACATACATACCCTTCGGCAAATTTTACAGAAGTCCGAGGAATACAATTTGCCACTATGTCTGGCGTATGTGGACTATGAGAAAGCCTTTGATTCCGTTGAAATTTGGGCGGTGCTGCAGTCCCTTCAGTGGTGCCAAGTTGACTGTCGATATATCGAAGTGCTGAAGTGCTTGTACAGTAGGGCTACGATGGCTATCCGAGTACAGAACCAGAGTACGAAACCTATCCAATTGCAGAGAGGTGTAAGACAGGGTGATGTTATATCCCCGAAACTCTTCACCGCTCCATTGGAAGACGTTTTCAAGCTACTGGACTGGAAAGGATACGGTATTAACATCAATGGCGAGTACATCACTCACCTTGGATTCGCCGACGATATAGTCCTTGTGGCAGAATGTCTGGAGGACCTAAGCACTATACTCAATGACCTCAATAGTGTTTCCCAACGGATAGGTCTTAAGATGAACATGGACAAAACAAAGATCATGTTTAATGTCCATGTCACACCTATGCCGGTAGTTGTTGGGAGCACTAAGCTCGAAGTTGTTGATGAGTATGTTTACCTGGGACAAATAGTCCGACTGGGTAAGTCCAACTTCGACCGAGAGGTCAATCGACGAATTCAACTCGGCTGGGCAGCGTTCGGGAAATTACGCCACATATTCTCTTCAGGTATACCTCAAAACTTGGAAACGAGACTGTACAACCAGTGCGTGTTGCCAGTGATGACCTATGAAACTGAGACGTGGTCCTTCACTGCTAGCCGGATGAGGAAGCTCAAGGTCGCTCAGCGAGCTATGGAGAGGGCTATGCTCGGAGTTTCTCTGCGTGATAAACTTAGAAATGAGGATATCCGCAGTAGAACCAGAGTGACCGACAGCCCAACGCATTAGTAAGCTGAAGTGGCAATGGGCCGGCCATATAGCTCGAAGAACCAACAACCGATGGGGAAAAAAGGTTCTCGAATGGCGGCCTCGTACCGGCGAACGAAGTGTAGGGCGTCCCCCCACTAGATGGAGTGACGACCTGGTAATATATGCAGGAAGTCGATGGATGCAGGTGGCTCAGGACTGTGCTTTGTGGCGTTCCTTGGGGGAGGCCTATGGTCAGCTTTGGACTTGTGAAGGGCTGTAATGATGATGACTTAATACGTATTTTATTAAAGTACAATTCAATAATCTCTATACAACTTTGCCCCACCTAAAAGTGTGGTGTACACGAATATTGTATGCGCCATTTTTTTGCTGTTTTATTACTTTATCCAAATTATGTAAGTTAAAGTCTTGAGATCTTGCGATTTATTTTAAATTCTACTTCTGTAACTCAGCTTCATGGCGGTGCCATTCGTGTTCGAGCTGCGCACTCTAATGGACTGGATTTGGACGGACACGTCCATGACGCTGATGGATTGGCTTAAAATGGAGGACATATTTGCAAGCGTATTCCTGCTTAAGGTGGGATGATTAATATATTATGTATTTTAAATATTTATTATTGTAATTACCCTTTTTGTTTTCTGCCTAAAATTTTCCAAATACTATAACTTATGCCATAGATAATTTCCATAGATAATCCAAAAGGAGAAATGAAAGAGCAAATGCCTGATGGCAAGTGACACCTGTATCTACCCTTGATTATTATTAAAATACAGATGATGGAATGCTTCATTAACAGTAAAATGATCTCCGGTTCTAGTTATTAACCATATGGAACACAGCAACATTATGGTAATATTTAACGCTGGTATTTAGTGCATCGATGTTTTATATCTATAATCCTCTCATTGAATTCCAGTGTTACGTAGGGTTCAAACAGCTAAAACCTAAATAATTTTTTGTAATTATTTATTATTATATTATTTATAATTATAATGTTCACTTTCTAAAAAGTTATTGTGATGCTATAGTGCAACAATTAATCTAATCACGCACTATTGTTACTTGACCTAAAAATAACCGATGTCCATTTATTTACAGTGCTCTCGGTACGTGGAAGATGAGTTCCCCCAGCCGAGGGGTGTTAAAAAGTCCAGTACTTCGAAGTATTTGCTGGGCGGTGGCGTGCTCGCATTCGTTATTGCTATCATTTGGTTCCCGCTTGTTTTCTTCGCCTTCGGAAACTCGGTAAGAATTATTATCCAGCATTTTATACTTCATTTTTAAATTTTAGAGTAAAATGATATGTGTGTTATGTGTTGCTACTTTTTGACACATTTGAATAGTTGTGCCCAGAAATCGAAATAAATCATTAAACTATATAAGAGTCTTCCAAAAACAAGTTGAGATCAAAACATACTGTTGCGCGCCACTATTAATGTCTTGTACATGGCAACACTATTTACCACTAGCGCCCTCTAGTGTCGAGTAGCAGAACTAGGAGAGACAAGATCCTTCTAGAAATTTTGGGACCGATATATACTCGAACATTCTAGATGTTTCTACAGTACAAGGTTCTGAAAACTATCTGAGGCCCTATATAAGGCCGGTATAGACCACGACCGAGTGAGTATTGAATAGGGTATTTTACACCATGTAAAAAAAATCAAAGAATATATATTTATGATAGATTTTGTAAAAAGTAAACGAGATATATTGATTTCTATTTATAAAAATGCATTATAAATTTTATATTTCAATTTAAAGAATTTTTTTTACCTGGGCCTCAAATCTGCAAAACGATGTCCGCCATATTAAATAGCGTCGTGACGTCACTAGGTCTAAGAACTAGGTTATGTGCTGTGTACTAACTAGCTAATTTCGAAATTTTTCAAGTTATCATTACGATTGTTGACTTTTATTCCGAATTTTATTGAAAAGGCATCATGGAAGACGGATTCGTAAAAGCGAATTTATTACTTCGCTTTTAGCACTAATGTTATAGATATTATAATATAAGCTTAGGTGAGAAAAACTTTTTGTTATATTTTTTCTACAAACCGTCAGACGAAATAAAAAGTAACTTTTTTATTTGGTCTGAGTGCAAACCATGTCTTTATTCCCATTTAATAGAAGAAAACAGGAATTAAGTAAAACACTGCACTGCACTTGCAAGGGCTATCAAAATGGCCCACAAAGGGCGGGACAGACGAGCGATTAACCTAATCTATTACAAAATTTGACTTGCAATAGTTCATACACCTATCATGTCATGATGTTTTGTTTTGTTTAATCGATAGTTAAATATAAGTCATACTTACATCAAAGTGATCTTCACAGAAGTATAGTTTAGATTTTGTAGACAATGCCTGCGGGTCTCTTCTTGCCAGTTTTAACCAAGTATTTCTCATATTTAAATCAGTTGGCACTTTAATCCATAACTTCCCCGGCGTTCTTATGCTCGTATTTTTGCAATCAGGCATAACAAAACAATGATATCGATGATAACTCATTATTAAGCATTCAAAAGTATCTTATTCCTTTGCAAAATTGTCAAAATTCTAGGACAGTGTCACGAGTTGAATAGTATGACGGCTAGCGTTTTCACGCGAAAATTTAAAACGATAGATTAAAAGTAATTTCTATGTCAGGTTTTAAAAAATTTATATAAAAATTATAGTGGTCCATTATCACTCTAGGATTCATTTAAAACACTTTTTTAAATGGGTGTAATACCCTATTGGCGATATAAGCGAATACTTCGAAGTGAAATAACTGCGAATTAAAGTGATCAGTAGTACAATTGCGTTTTATTATTAGTGTGGTTTTAAGTTGTAATTAGTGTTTTATAATTAAAGTGTCAATTTTGGTAATTCAATTGGCAGTTTTTTAATTGTCTCGAACCCCAAGCTCGTAACAATACATTTACGGTTTGAATGTTGTTTAAATATTCACTGCTGACTATTGCGAATTTTACCACATTATTAATGACACCACATAATGGCTTCTTCTTCTGTATCAGCCTATATTAAGCCACTAGTGGTCTAATGGATATAGACCTTTCTCATGTGGACCAGGAATTTATGACGAGGTACACCGTCATATAACGTGGCCTTGCTGACCTTTCGTATTGTCGCCTCTTCTGACACCTACAGGTCAAAATGGAGCATGGGGCCATATATTATCATACGCTGCCACCAAGAAAATGACATAATGACACCAGAATTATAATTATTGTTTAGTCTAATGTTTTCTTTATCATTAACACTAATTTTATATAAAAACTATTTATTAGCGGCACCGATATAATAACAGCGCCGTGACCGTGGGAACAATGTTACAGTCTCATGCAGAGTTCAAGTAATTTTTATAAAAAATATTCTATCTCCTATTCCACAGCATAATTGACAAATTTGATTAAAATTCATCCAGGCGTTCAAGCGTGATTAAATGATAAAAATACTTTCACATTTATAATTTTAATTTTAACATTATAAAATATATTGGAAATATTTAAAAAAAATGCTTTAAATTTTTGTTCTAGGTTGGTGAACCGAATCCACCAAACGATGTGACAGTTAAAATACGCATTGGACCGTTCCTTCCAGTGTACCAGATGTCAGCGCAGTCACATAATATAGATATGTAAGTTTTTACTTTAATTGACGAAACTGGGAGAATTTATTCCGATATTGAATGATGAATCTTGTTATTCCAATTGATTAAAATTTTGTACATACACCATTTATCATTAACCTTTTTTATCAGTTCTAAGTATTCCTTTCTATGAATGTGCCTACGAATTCGTTATAGACATTCCTAAGATCGCTCGGACATGCACGCATTTCTTGATAGAACCGCCCCTACTGATAATACTGTCAGATTTTATTTAGTAACGTTATTAGAATAGAATAGAATGATTTTTATTCAATGTGGATTATTACATAATACTTATTGAAAGTCATTATTTTATTTACCACTGGTTCGGAAGTTACCTCTGTCCTGGGAAGAACCAGCAAGAAACCCAGCGGGACTTTTTTTTTAAACATAATTTCACTTAACAATAATTTTGTTTATACAATTTTAAATGAATTTTCATAGAACCAGCATGGTGGCGATCACCTTATTCCCAGGGGTTATTTTCATTCATGTATTCCTTGATACTATAATAACCCTTTTTGTACAGTTTTTCTTTAATAAAACTTTTAAACTTGTTTATTGACAAACTTTGAACATGTTCTGGGATTTAGTTGTAAAAGCGTATACATTGCCCCATAAATGGATTACTAATTCTGTGGAGTCTAGTAACTGGCATTACAAGCTTATGTTTGTTCTTAGTGTTTAAGGTATGAACATCCTTATTCTTATTAAAGCTATTTATGTTTTTATGTACATACATTACATTTTCATAAATATATTGCGATGCCAAAGTTAATATGTTTATTTCTTTAAATTATTCCCTAAGGGACTCTTTACAATTTAGATTATAAATCGCCCGTACGGCTCTCTTTTGCAAAACAAATATAGCTTCAATATGAGTCGCATTATCCCATAGCAAAATTAATATTAAGTTATATACCCCGGTGCTTCTGGTACTTCTCACAACTATGCCGATTGTATTTCCAACGGCATAATTGCCGCTTCAAACTGATTAAAGAACTAACTTATAAGCGCTTTTTGACGTTTTCCCGCCAAAATCATTTGATATGCGGTCGAACAAATGACTATCCATGACAAGCCGGCCAAAGTTTATAACGGCTGTCGATGGCAAAACTACACCAGGGTACTCTACCCTATAAACGTTGGCTTAGCGGATTGGCGATACGAGCAATACGTTGCTCAATGGTTTACAATACATTCGATTAAACAAAACATATCTATTACTCAAAAGAAACAAAACGTGTTATAGTGGCGGTATCCTCATCGGCCCGTGAACAGTTAACTGCTTGATCATGTTGTGTCCATCCCATAACATAAAGGATTTGCCGGTATCGCCGGGCTTTCTAGTCGAAATGGTTATCACAGTACTAGTAATGTGATTGTGTGACTTGATTTCGTGACTCTCGCTTGTTGTTGGCATATTTTAGAAAAAGATGATAGAGAGGTATGTGATTTTGTAACCTGAAATAATGAGACATCGGCTTATAATCGATACTGTTACATTTACAATATAACGAAACGAAATGTCCAAACGAAGCCAACCATCATTTTCTACCTACATAAGTCACACAATCGCATTTGTGATCTGTATTCCATATGTCATAGTGTCATAAATATAGCGCTTAGACTTATTATTTCATATTTAAATAACAGAACTCAAAAAGTCGTGATCGTGGTAAAGGTTCCTCCGGATCAGTAGTATCTATGGGCGTTCCCCAGGGCTCGTTTTCGTTTTGTTCCATTCTTTTTTCATTTCATTTCAGTTCCATTCGTTTTGGCCCATTCCTGTTCTTAGTCTATATTATTGACTTATCTTGTAGGGGACAATCAACGATATAGTATTATTTGCTGATGATACCTCTTTAATTTTCAAACTCAAACGACAACCAATTAATTTTGACAATGTAACTAATGCTCTATCGAAATAAGTACATTAGTTTAACGCGAATAATTTGCTCTTAAACGGCAATAAGACAAAATGTATTAAATTTACAATACCTAATGTTAAACATTCAAATACCAATGTGCTCTTAAATGGGGAGGAGTTGAGTCTTGTGGATACCACCGTTTTTCTTGGCATTACTATTGGCGCAAAGCTTCAATGGGGCCCCCATATATCAAAATTAGCAAGCAGACTTAGTTCTGCAACATATGCTGTAAGAAAGATTAGAAGTCTCACCAATATTGAGACAGCTAGATTAGTTTATTTTAGTTACTTTCATAGCGTGATGTCTTATGGAATTTTGCTATGGGGTAATGCGACTGACATCCAAGCTATATTTGTTTTGCAAAAGAGAGCCGTACGGGTGATTTATAACTTAAATTGTAAAGAGTCCTTTAGAGAAAAATTTAAAGAATACATATTAACTTTTCTCATCGCAATATATTTATGAAAATGTAATGTATGTACATAAAAACATAAATAGCTTTAATAAGAATAAGGATGTTCATACCTTAAACACTAAGAACAAACATAAGCTTGTAATACCCGTTACTAGACTCCACAGAATTAGTAATTCATTTATAGGGCAATGTATACGCTTTTACAATAAAATCCCAGAATATGTACAAAATTTGTCAATACATAAGTTTAAATTTTTTACTGAAGAAAAATTGTACAAAAAGGATTATTATAATATTAAAGAATACATAAGTGAAAAAAACCCCTGGTATGAGGTAATCGCCGCCATGTTGGCGATATGAGCTGTTTCTATTAAAACTCATTTAAAATTTATACAAAAAAATATTGCAAAGTGAAAGATGTTTTAAAAAAAAGTCCTGCTGAGTTTCTTGCTGGTTCTTCCCAGGATAGAGATACTTTCAGAATCAGTGATAAATAAACAAATGACTTTCGATAAGTGTTTGTAATAATCTATATTGAAAAAAAATTATTCTATTCTATTCTATTCTATGTGTATCTTCTATTGTTCGGGTGTTTATTACATCGCTAACGCATTTTTTTTTTTTGTAATAATAATTGTGTTAGTTTAGCTGATATTGTTAAATTGAAAGAGATTTTACAATACCTTCAAGTAAATTTTACCTAAATTAATTAATAAACTGAAATTAGTTTATGCATATTTTATTTTTTTTAATTAAATTAAATAAAAAATTATAATGTAATTAATACAATATATTTTTAATTTCGGTCTTAATTTTAATTTTTTTTATTTATTCTTAGAAAGAGTGTACATTATTTACTTTTTAAATTTTGCCAAACTGTAAGCCAGTTTGTCGGCTATGAATATAATTTAAAATACATTGTATGTGCTTGTGTACGTATGTAAGTGTTTTTTGAGTAGATCCTAAGATAATAATTTTGAAATGGTTAAAAAGAGCCTGCATAGTGCATCCTGAATTTGAAACTATTTTAAACGACGACTGAATGTTTGGAAGGATCTAAAAATAAGATCCTGAATTTTTTTCATTCATATGTACTGTAGATCCCAGGGGTTAATATTAGGAATAAACAAGTAACACTGATATCGGCTCGTAGTAAGCGTCCACGTCTTCTCCCTGCGGCGGTCGTTGGGGCAGTGCCGCTCCGTTCCGCGACCCCGCGCGTACGCTTCTCGGGACGACAGAGTTATACACCACTATTATGTCTATATGCTACACATCCATTACAGCCTATCAAATGACCAATGCTGAACATGGGCCTTCCTAATAGATTGCTTCATAGGGAGAATATTTGCCATAGTTGCCACGCGAGTTTTTATTATTGCTGCCCATCGCCTGATTTTTTCTTTGCCGGTTCTTAAGACACCCACGACCTTCTCTCACTTTTTAAGTTGTAACTCCCTAAATATTTTTGGTTAAAATTGTATCAAACATTGTAGAATCAAAACTTTAAAAAATATGAGAGATAACAACACAGAGTGATGCGTGTCAAAACACACTTAGTCAATAGTAAACATGGTGTATATTAAAGTGCAGCACTTGACTCTTTGCACAGCTACACGGAGCAGGACTACACGCAGCTGAGCAACCTGTATGCGCGCGACCGCACGGCGCAGACGTTCCTGTCCAACTACATGTACAACGACGTGGCCGTCGTCACCATCAACCCCAACTCCACCATGAAGTGGGAGATCTCGCCGCCCGAGCTGGCGCGCCTCGAGCGCGAGGCCTCCTCCAGTGAGTCTATACACTTGCCTCACCGCACAGCTACACCGCACACGTTCCTGTCCAACTACATGTACAACGACGTGGCCGTCGTCACCATCAACCCCAACTCCACCATGAAGTGGGAGATCTCGCCGCCCGAGCTGGCGCGCCTCGAGCGCGAGGCCTCCTCCAGTGAGTCTATACACTTGCCTCACCGCACAGCTACACCGCACACGTTCCTGTCCAACTACATGTACAACGACGTGGCCGTCGTCACCATCAACCCCAACTCCACCATGAAGTGGGAGATCTCGCCGCCCGAGCTGGCGCGCCTCGAGCGCGAGGCCTCCTCCAGTGAGTCTATACACTTGCCTCACCGCACAGCTACACCGCACACGTTCCTGTCCAACTACATGTACAACGACGTGGCCGTCGTCACCATCAACCCCAACTCCACCATGAAGTGGGAGATCTCGCCGCCCGAGCTGGCGCGCCTCGAGCGCGAGGCCTCCTCCAGTGAGTCTATACACTTGCCTCACCGCACAGCTACACCGCACACGTTCCTGTCCAACTACATGTACAACGACGTGGCCGTCGTCACCATCAACCCCAACTCCACCATGAAGTGGGAGATCTCGCCGCCCGAGCTGGCGCGCCTCGAGCGCGAGGCCTCCTCCAGTGAGTCTATACACTTGCCTCACCGCACAGCTACACCGCACACGTTCCTGTCCAACTACATGTACAACGACGTGGCCGTCGTCACCATCAACCCCAACTCCACCATGAAGTGGGAGATCTCGCCGCCCGAGCTGGCGCGCCTCGAGCGCGAGGCCTCCTCCAGTGAGTCTATACACTTGCCTCACCGCACAGCTACACCGCACACGTTCCTGTCCAACTACATGTACAACGACGTGGCCGTCGTCACCATCAACCCCAACTCCACCATGAAGTGGGAGATCTCGCCGCCCGAGCTGGCGCGCCTCGAGCGCGAGGCCTCCTCCAGTGAGTCTATACACTTGCCTCACCGCACAGCTACACCGCACACGTTCCTGTCCAACTACATGTACAACGACGTGGCCGTCGTCACCATCAACCCCAACTCCACCATGAAGTGGGAGATCTCGCCGCCCGAGCTGGCGCGCCTCGAGCGCGAGGCCTCCTCCAGTGAGTCTATACACTTGCCTCACCGCACAGCTACACCGCACACGTTCCTGTCCAACTACATGTACAACGACGTGGCCGTCGTCACCATCAACCCCAACTCCACCATGAAGTGGGAGATCTCGCCGCCCGAGCTGGCGCGCCTCGAGCGCGAGGCCTCCTCCAGTGAGTCTATACACTTGCCTCACCGCACAGCTACACCGCACACGTTCCTGTCCAACTACATGTACAACGACGTGGCCGTCGTCACCATCAACCCCAACTCCACCATGAAGTGGGAGATCTCGCCGCCCGAGCTGGCGCGCCTCGAGCGCGAGGCCTCCTCCAGTGAGTCTATACACTTGCCTCACCGCACAGCTACACCGCACACGTTCCTGTCCAACTACATGTACAACGACGTGGCCGTCGTCACCATCAACCCCAACTCCACCATGAAGTGGGAGATCTCGCCGCCCGAGCTGGCGCGCCTCGAGCGCGAGGCCTCCTCCAGTGAGTCTATACACTTGCCTCACCGCACAGCTACACCGCACACGTTCCTGTCCAACTACATGTACAACGACGTGGCCGTCGTCACCATCAACCCCAACTCCACCATGAAGTGGGAGATCTCGCCGCCCGAGCTGGCGCGCCTCGAGCGCGAGGCCTCCTCCAGTGAGTCTATACACTTGCCTCACCGCACAGCTACACCGCACACGTTCCTGTCCAACTACATGTACAACGACGTGGCCGTCGTCACCATCAACCCCAACTCCACCATGAAGTGGGAGATCTCGCCGCCCGAGCTGGCGCGCCTCGAGCGCGAGGCCTCCTCCAGTGAGTCTATACACTTGCCACCGCTCTACTCCACTTCGCTTTGGTGGACTTCACATGTCTACCTAAATAATTCTATTATTCAGACATACAAGTTTCCTACACGATGTCTTGCTTGACCACCGAGCAGGATAAAGCAGCACTTCAAATTGCAATTAAAAATATCATTGATGCTGGCGAGGAACGAATTCAGATTACTCCCGTACTGGGAAATTTACCAGATTTTACGAGAAACGTGAATATAAATGGGCTTTTTATTTTTAACATTTACTAGTACTAAATTTATATGGAAGCTTTCTAGAAAGCTCCCAAATAAATTTGATCAAGGTCTGACCAATATTTTTTGAGTTATCCTTAATAATTTATATTGAAGTCGGTTGTAGAATTTTTTTGTTTTTAGCTCTTGTATAATCAACAACACCTAAAGTTAAAGCCAAATTTAAAACCGTAACTTCAGTGGTACGATGGTAGGATTTGAATGCGGACGAAGCCTCGGGCACAGCTAGTTTTAATAATTTAATAATAGTTTTTAGGGATTGGCGATACATATCTTAAATATCGTGGTCGATATAAATCGTAGATACGATATCTATATATCGGTATAATATCCAATACCTATATATACAACGTCACTACACAAAACATGTAACATCGAACATGAAGAAGTAATACTACCGTAAAAAATATCTATGATATGATGCATTGAATTCAAGATTTTAAGTAAAATATATAATCTTAGAAGAATATCTACTTCGACTCGTCGATAAGACATGCTCGTTTCGGAGTATCACAGATATTAACCAATAGTTAGTTAGATATTACAATATATCTATAAATCTAAGTAAACCGAATTCATCAAAAATCGTATATCGTATATGTAGTAATGGATATTGACTTCCTTACAAATTTACAGAATCACTTAGATATTAACTGATACATAGATATTGAAATATATCTATGTATCAGTTGTCCGATCAGCCATGCTGCAGCTATATTAGTAGTATAGTTGTAACACGAATAGACCCTTTTTACTGGAAACGAGGTATTCCATCTTAGTCCTCACGGGTGCAACGCATCTGCATTTTGATTCGTAATCGAGGATAGATGTAGATGTCTATGGGCCGCAGCAACCACTTACCATCAGGTGGACTGTTTGCTCGTTTGTCACCCTTATCCTATAAAAAAGGAGGCAAAGTTCACTGCCGAATATAGACCACGCTTGGCAGACGGGTTGGCAACTGCAGGTTTTTATTATTTTGAGTTAGCAGATATTCTGATAGCAGAAAGATACTGTTGCCAATCTCCTGTTTCAGTAATAATTCAGTAATTCTTAATATACAATACACTCAATAAAACAAACAATATATTTGATAAAATATACAAAGACATGCTTAACTTTAAGAATGTGTTTTCCAGCTAAACCTTTATTCGTAGAAGTATATAATATAAACTTTACACAACATTACTTACAAGTTTCTTTTTAGACGCGTCGTTGACTGTCAAGTTTACATACGTGATCACGCATCCAAGTAACAACGCTCAGAATCCGCCCACAATGGAGGACCATCGAGAAGTGGAAATGAAAGCCTACATAGACGGCAAACCCAATCCTGAACGTGAGACGCTCCTCAAGCTTCTGGCCGGCACTTCCACACCCGACACTTGGTTTGTACTAATGTATAATTTGTTCTCTGTAGTCTCAAATTTTTTATAATAATTATATTAAGCCCCAATTGGTTAATTGACAATCAATTGAACTTTTTAAAAATATAATGTAATAAATTCCTACAAAATAATCATTTTAAAGTTACAGCCTACGTATATACTCTCAGCTGGGAGCTGGAGAAATGAGGAGGCTTGTGCATTATTTTAATTTCATTATACTAAGAGGATAGGGCAAAAGTATCCGCCGCGGTACCTCATTGCGTGTTGGAGAACTTCACATATCTTCGAAATATGTTTCTTATTCCGACATGTATCTTATTTATTAAATACTAAAAATTCAATTTAATTTAAAATGAAAATAGGACCAAATTTTGAAAACTCACTTAAATATGCAAATTAAAATCTTATTACAAGTTTGTAGTTACTTATTACTGATGGTATCAACTATATAATTACGAAAACCACTGTAGAAAGACTTATAAAAAACTGTTAACTTCTAGGGCGTAAAAACTTTACTTATTTTTTCGATCCAGACTAAGCTCTGTTACGACGTCCAGTCTGAACTGATCCTCCGTTCAGACTGGCCATCGTAACAGACCATCTGCTTAGGTCACTATTGCAATGCACTCTATAGTCTCTCATTCTCATAGTCCGACGGCACGTCAATCCGAAACAACCAGGTGCAGGACCAAAGGCACGAGGGTGAAACACGGATAGCTTATTGACTCTGACCTGCTACTGAGAACTTCTTGACAGAAAATCTAGTAACTGACTTTGGTACAACTCGGGATTCGAACCCGGGACCAACTGATCAGCAGTTTCGCTTACCCTCCAGTAATGAGAGTAGTCATGTCCAGGATTGAGACGCATATCGACTGACGACTTTATTATGCAATTAACTAATGGTGATTAAATAAACTTCAAAAGATCAAAGCAAATCAGCATCAAATGCAAGCTTACTATGTAAATCTTATTTGCTGAAAATTGGCCGAGTTGCCAATGCCTTGTGTAATTACCATTCTACTGTATTGTACCATTGTATTTTAATTATTCTATTTTAGGTTACATGTGAAGGCACTGTTTCCCAAATTCGTTAAAGTATTCAACAAAGGAGCGGCAAAACCATCTTATCAGTTAATGCCACCCACCATGGATGAAGGTAAGACAGTTACTATATATATATATAGTTATTATTTAAGTATAGTTTCGACAAAAAATATGTTGTTATTATATAAATAGAAAGTCATTGTCTTCTTGTTGCGCTACTTTTTAACCAACGTCAAAAGGGAGGAGTTACTCAATTGGACTGTATGCTTTTTTTTAATGTATGTTACCTCATAACTTTTTTCTAGGTGAACCGATTTTGATGATTTTTTTTATTTGTAAACTGGTGCTTCTCATGTGGTCCCATATACGTGGTCACTCAAAAGTTTTAGATGCTCGAAATTTAAAAATGAAACGCACCCGTTTTATATGTTTCTAAAAAGCAAATTTATATAAAAATGGAATTCCATAAGCCAATTTCTTATGGAATTCCATTTTTAAATAAATGTACATAAATGTAAATAAAATAAAATGTACCTTAAGACCCTGTAATCTTGCGGGATCACACGCCGCGCGCTCCGCTTGCAAGTCTGCTAATCTCTTTTGTCGACTGTCTGGTGGCAAAGATTCTGCCGTTTGATTTGTATCGCCATCACTGTCTTCTCTTCTTTTTTCTTCAACTTCTTCAATTAAATGAATATATAGATACTCGACCTGGCAACGTACAACGCACGCACCCTGAGGACTGACGAGAAGATCGTGGAGCTGGAAGAAGAGATAGACAAGTTGCGCTGGCATATTATAGGATTATCCGAAGTCCGAAGAGAGGGGGAGGACACGGTAATCCTCGAATCCGGCAACTTGCTTTATCACCGGGAGGGCGACCATCTGTCCCAAGGAGGTGTCGGATTTATCGTCCACAAGTCTCTCGTTAACAACGTTGTAAAGATCGGGAGTGTGTCGACGAGGGTTGCGTACCTTATACTCAGAATCACCAAACGGTATTCGCTGAAGGTCATACAGGTTTACGCACCAACCTCGGCACACCCCGATGAGGAGGTGGAGGAAATGTATGAGGATATCTCTAGAGCCATGCATTCCTCCAAAACCCAATATACGGTGTTAATGGGAGACTTCAATGCAAAACTAGGCACAAGAGAGAACGGTGAGCTGAAAGTAGGGAAATTTGGAATAGGGCAACGGAACCCAAGGGCCCAGCAGCTGGCCGACTTCATGGAGAAAGAGGGACTCTTTATGATGAACTCTTTCTTCCAGAAGCGGCCCCACAGGAAGTGGACCTGGTCGAGCCCCGACGGTTCGACAAAAAATGAGATTGACTTCATTATGACGACCAGACGACAACTGTTCAGTGATGTCTCCGTAATCGCGAGGGTGAAAACTGGTAGCGATCACCGAATGGTTAGAGGCACACTGAACCTAAACGTTAAGTTGGAGAGGTCTCGTCTAATGAAGTCAACGGTCCGTCCCCCTCGTGCTCTGTTCCAAAGTCCCGAAACCTTTCAGCTCGAGTTACAAAACCGTTTTCAGTGCCTAGAAGACTGCAATGAAATGGACGATATGAATGATAAGCTCGTGGAAACTGTCCATGCGGTCGGAGCTAAGTTCTGCAAGACCCGCCGCAGAAGAACACAAAAACTCTCCGATCACACTCTTAATCTCATGGCTGTTAGACGGGAGATGAAGCTACATTCATCAACAGACTTGACAGCATACAGGCATCTGAACAGACAGATCTCCAAATGCATGCGGCGGGACTTACGCAGCTTCAATACAGCTCGTATTGAAGAAGCGATCGAGCGGAACCAAGGCTCCAAAGTCTTTGCCAGAAATCTGTCTGCCAGAAAGAGCCAACTGTCAAAGCTGAAGACAGAATGTGGCAGCATCGTTTCCGGGACACCTGAGATTTTGAGTGAAATTGAGAGGTTCTATGGGCAGCTGTACACGGCATCGTTGGAGCCACACGCAAGTGTGAGTAACGATCCAAGAGCGAGTCTCATCCGACACTATTCCGAAGATATCCCGGACGTCAGTCTGAGCGAGATTAGAATGGCTCTCCAGCACCTTAAAAACGGTAAGGCCCCAGGCGAGGATGGAATTACAGCGGAGCTTCTGAAAGCGGGTGGAAAACCGGTACTTGAAGTCCTTCAGAGGCTCTTTAATTCCGTCCTCCATGGTGGCATTACACCGGAGGCGTGGAGCAGAAGTGCGGTGGTCTTGTTCTTCAAGAAAGGTGACAACGCTCTCTTGAAGAACTACAGACCGATTTCCCTTCTGAGCCGCGTCTACGTGCTGTTTTCGAGAGTCATTACGAATCGTCTCGCGCGCAGACTTGACGACTTCCAGCCTCCCGAACAAGCCGGTTTCCGAAAGGGCTTTAGCACCATAGGTCCTCCATGGTGGCATTACACCGGAGGCGTGGAGCAGAAGTGCGGTGGTCTTGTTCTTCAAGAAAGGTGACAACGCTCTCTTGAAGAACTACAGACCGATTTCCCTTCTGAGCCGCGTCTACGTGCTGTTTTCGAGAGTCATTACGAATCGTCTCGCGCGCAGACTTGACGACTTCCAGCCTCCCGAACAAGCCGGTTTCCGAAAGGGCTTTAGCACCATAGACCACATACATACCCTTCGGCAAATTGTACAGAAGTCCGAAGAGTACAATTTGCCACTATGTCTGGCGTATGTGGACTATGAGAAAGCCTTTGATTCCGTCGAAATTTGGGCGGTGCTGCAGTCCCTTCAGCGGTGCCAAGTTGACTGTCGGTATATCGAAGTGTTGAAGTGCTTGTACAGTAGGGCTACGATGGCTATCCGAGTACAGAACCAGAGTACGAAACCTATCCAATTGCAGAGAGGTGTAAGACAGGGTGACGTCATATCCCCGAAACTCTTCACCGCTTCATTGGAAGACGTTTTCAAGCTTCTGGACTGGAAAGGATACGGTATCAACATCAATGGCGAGTACATCACTCACCTTCGATTTGCCGACGACATAGTCCTTATGGCAGAATCGCTGGAGGACCTAAGCACTATGCTCAATGACCTCGATAGTGTTTCCCAACGGATAGGTCTTAAGATGAACATGGACAAAACAAAGATCATGTTCAATGTCCATGTCACACCTATGCCGGTAGTTGTTGGGAGCACTAAGCTCGAAGTTGTTGACGAGTATGTTTACCTGGGACAAATAGTCCGACTAGGTAAGTCCAACTTCGACCGAGAGGTCAATCGACGGATTCAACTCGGCTGGGCAGCGTTCGGGAAGCTACGACACATCTTCTCGTCAGACATACCTCAAAACCTGAAAACGAAATTGTACAACCAGTGCGTGTTGCCAGTGATGACTTATGGAACTGAGACGTGGTCCTTCACTGCTGGCCGTATGAGGAAGCTCAAGGCCGCTCAGCGAGCTATGGAGAGGGCTATGCTCAGAGTTTCTCTGCGTGATAAACTTAGAAATGAGGATATCCGCAGTAGAACCAGAGTAACCGACATAGCCCAACGGATTAGTAAGCTGAAGTGGCAGTGGGCCGGCCATATAGCTCGAAGAACCGACAACCGATGGGGAAGAAAGGTTCTCGAGTGGCAGCCTCGTACCGGTAGGCGAAGTGTAGGGCGTCCCCCCACGAGATGGAGTGACGACCTGGTAAGACATGCAGGAAGTCGATGGATGCAGGTGGCTCAGGACCGTGCTTTGTGGCATTCTTTGGGGGAGGCCTATGTTCAGCAGTGGACTTGTGAAGGGCTGTAATGATGATGATGATGATAGATACATTAATTAACAATCTTTTATATAGTTATACATGATAGCGCTATGAGAAGACATGCCAATAGCTATGAGAAGATTGTGGTTGAAGAATTTTTGGGTTGTTCTGCGTCGGGTCTTGCAGAACTTAGGTCTGACCGTATTTGGAAGAGTTATACGTAGGTCACTCAATAAGTTTTGAGATGCTTGAAATTTAAAATGGAACGCACCCGTGTTATATGTTTCTAAAAAGCAAATTTATTTAAAAATAGAACTCCATAAACCAATTGCTCAATATTAAAAAAAAACAAAGTTCTATTAATTTTCCTGCAATGCTTCCCGCGCTTTCCATTTAAAACGATGGATCTTAACCGTTAACATTTGCGCGCTATGATATATTATGATTTTAAATTTGGTTTAACCGAACAATTAAGTTTACAACGGTTACAATCAGCATTAGGGAACTCAGCTCCATCACGCGTAACAATTTTAAGTGCTTTGCTGAATTCAAAAGGGGTAAAATTAATCTTAAAGATGACGAAAGAACCGGGTCCCGCAAACAGCAGTAACGGCAGAAAATGTATGGACTACTGAAATATTAGTGCGAGTAGACCCACGAATCACGTATACGGACATCGATAAGATTGTAGGCATTACTTCGGGGAGCATTCATACCACCCTACATCAACATCATGGAGTGAGGAAACTTTGTTGTCGATGGATCCCTCGTTTACTCTCCGAAAGCGAAAAACAGACTCGTGTGGATTGGTGCCATGAAATACGTCTACGTTTTGAAAACGGGGCATCTAAGCGTGTTTCAGAAATCGTTACTGGTGACGAGACATGGATATATCAATATGATCCGGAAAATAAAAGGCAATCATCGGTATGGGTCTACTCAGAAGGACAGTTACCGACAAAACTGCGAAGACCTCGCAACGTCGGCAAAAAATGGTGGCTAGTGTTTTTCGTGAAGCGGACATTTGTCGACGTCAATGCTGGAAAATTATAGGTCAGTCAACTCTGAATAGTATACTACAGTTGCATTACCCAAAGCTTTTCAAGCTGTGCGGGAGAGAAGACCAAAGACCGGGCTTCGGGGAATCACGCTGCATCACGATAACGCCTCTTCACATACCTCCCTTAGAACAAAAGCATTTATTGAGGGATATGGTGTTGAAACTCTACCCTACAGCCCTAACTTAGCTAGCTCCTTGTGATTTCTTTTTGTTCTCAAGAGTCAAAGAAAAAATAAAAGGCAAGTTTTTTTCAAGCGCCGAAGAAGCCGTGGCTGCCTACGAAGAAGCGATTTCCGACCTGTCAGATCAAGACTGGCAAAAGTGTTTTCAGAGTTGGTTTAGGCGAATAGAACTTTGTATAGAGCATAATAGAGAATATTTTGAAAAGATGTAAAATAAATATTAATAGTATCTAGAATACTTTTTGTATATCTCAAAACTTATTGAGTGACCTACGTGTCATGTGATCAAGGTCTGACCAATAGTTTTTGAGTTATCCCTATTAATTTATATTGAAGTCGCTTGTACAATTTTTTTAATTTTGCCACTTGTTGTTAATACACAAGAACCTAGTATATTTAGTATCAGCTATGGTGTAGACCTTTGAAAGAAAAAAAATTCAGGTTATTTTAAATTATTGGTGTGTGATACTTAATTGTACACGGACAAACATCGAATCGAACCCGTGGCCGTGCATAACTCTTACGCGTTAGAGCCATTACTTAATAAGTTATTGGGGTGATACTGTTTTCATTTATACAAATATTTATTTTTTTCAGTTTTATGATATATTTTTCAATCCAAGTAAATTAAACTGCCAAGAAAACATAGTATGATGGCGGCATAAGAGAATCCATCGCCCCATTGCGTCCCGTAAGTCGTATGAGGCGCCTATGGGATATGCCAAAAACATGTTATGGCTTCAAATAGACAGCGGTTTAACTTATTTTACCTAGATTTGGCATGACTTGTGATTGTTTACTAAGCCATATACCGTATCGTTATAAAGTCCATTGCTGAACATAGGCCCGCTCCATAAATTCCCTAATAGCGAGGATATTTGCCATAGTTGCCATGCCTGGCAAGCGGGTTGGCAACCGCAGTATTTTTGTTGTTTTTAGTTGTTATTAGGAAGACGCTGCTGCCCATCTCATTATATGTTTCCCTCTGTCGCCTCTTACGACACCCAATAGGATGATGTCGACTAGTAGATATTCTTACACCGCCACTACAAGGTAAAAGGTATATACATCAGTATTATATTACTTCAGTATACCTATGTATAATAATTGCATTTTACTTTATTTAATAATAACTACAAAACTTCAATGTTTTGTATCCTTTTCAATTTATTTAAATAACTTATGACAAGAACGAGTGATTTTACTACATAACCTACAAATAATAAAAACAAAATCCCAGGTCCTGCAAAATTGATTTTTGTCATAAGTAGCAAATGTCAAATCTTCAAAATAAAATATATTTGAACTTTGTTCACGCCGGGCCCAAACGTGTATGGGACCACGTTCATCTCTTTTTACTTTCGATACTCTTAGACTAATATTCTATTTGAATTGAAAAACTATTTATTCATATAAATAGACCGTGAAATGGCGGTGTAAGAATATCGATTATCCCATACCCCCGTGGGTATCGTAAGAAGCTACAGAGGGAAATGAAACACTAGATGGGCACCAGCAGCTGCCTGATAATAAATCAATATAATAAAAAACTGCGGTTGCCAACCCGCTTGCTTAGCGAGTTAACAACATCAAATATACCCCCATAAGACTATCCATGGGGGAGGCAGTGAACTTTGATAGATAATTGTGTAGTATGAAAGTTTAAGCAAGAGCCTCAGACCAACAAAGAAAGATAGATGGAATACATTTTATGTAATGCCGAAACCAGCACTCACACACATAAAACTTTTTGTTGATTGCAAATTATTTTGCGTAGATGCATATTTGTACATGAGTATGTGTTCTTACAAGAAGTTGAGCATTGTTTTGACTTGGTTTTTACGTCGCTTCAAATGTACGCAGTATTCCACCTTTCTTTCTTCGTTGGTCTGAGGCAAGCGCTTATTAACCTCTAAGCTACCACGGTGATCAATTTCATCAATGTCAGATGAGAACGCGCGACTGTACCGCAACGTTCAGCTTCGTCTGGAAAGAGAAGGCAGCGCTATGTACTGGCGGGTGCGGGAAGCCTGCGAGCCAAGAGTAAGTAACCAAGTACCTTACTTCAGTTTGTTAGGTATTTTCTTTTTTTTTAAACCCTACATCCACTAGGAATTTCTTCTGTGTTGTGAAGGCGTTTTACATACATAAATTGCAAATGGACAACCATCAAGACCTGGAGCAATAATTTGTAGGCCAGAATTCTATCCCGCTACGCCACTAGTGTTATTAAATGTGTATTCATTTTTTTAATAATTTTAATGAATATTTCATTTCAGTAGCGCCAGCATGGCGTCACGTAGTCTTACTGGACAAGAAAAAACATTTCTTACGGTTTACATATTACATACTTTTTAAGAATACCAAAAATTACGAATAAAAATGTATTTTAAAGGAGACACCCGGGTATTAATTTTTTTGTATAAGCAGTTTCCGCGACATATGAGCATCATTGTAGCCTATTATAGCAATGCTAGGGTCTTGTAGTTTTCTTTTATGATTCTATCAATTTAATCAACCGTATAGTGGCGGTGTAAGGATATCCACTACCTCATATCATCGCGTGGGTGTCTTAAGAGGCGACGGAGAGAAACAAACCAGAAGATGGGCAGCAGCAACTTCCTTATAACAGCTCAAAATCATAAAAAACTGCGGTTGTCAACCAACCTGCCAAGCATAACAAACTATGAGCTCGGAAATCCCATGTTCAACGGTGGACTTTTATAGATCCTGGCAATTGTAGGTTTGTAGGTCGTTCAAAAGGTCTATGTCGCCTGATCTCCCTCCGGTCGTGTCGGTTTACCGTCCCATCGGACTATGAGAGTGAGGGAATACAGAGTGGTGTACCTGTGCTTGCGCATACACTTGGGCACTATAATCCTGTGCAGCGCCGATGGCCAGTCTCCGCTGAGGCTGGCCGCCGTGACCGAAATTTGGTCTGGAGGACATTATTATGATAGTTTAAGCGGTGATGATAATAATGCCGTCTAGGGGCTTAAGTTAATCCATAATGTCGTACCATTTTGTTAGGTGTGGTAAGGAGGCTACTTCAGGAAACTCCCCGAAATCTTGTAGCCTTTGATAGATTGCGTTACACCACTTTGCATTTATACCAAATGTAAAATATTATTGTTAATCGACGATGGGAAACAGTTTTTAAGGTTAAACTGCTCATAGTTGAGCCACTTCTGATCGCAGCTTCGAACTCCACACTGGACGACTGGATGATTGTTGTTGACCTGCAAATAATTGTTCCGGTTCTGGAAGTTTACCCGTGTGCAATTTGTGTATTTACAACGCCTCCGCAGTAAATATTTTCCTAGGGTGTAAGCATGAAGCAAATACAAAGAGGAGGTGTTGTAATTAGATTTCACTATTTAAAAACGCGTGACAATTTGCGGGGTGAGGGGATGCTAAGCCCCGCCCATTTTACACTATCTACATCTACCGATAAATAGTAAAACTATTCGAATCGTTCCATATCGATGTTCCAATGTAGTTTAACTACCTTGACGATAGATGGCGACCTGTTCACAAAATGATTATAAAAACTATAAAAATAATATTTTGACGATTAAAAATTCTTTAGGACTGCATGCAAAACAAATTTCAGCACGTTCGTATGATCATTCTACCAATACTAAGCTCTACGTACCTTATATTATATTTTTAGTTCACATGACGCAAAGTGTCGCCATCTAGTATCGAATATATTTAATTATATTTGAAAGCCGACGCAAAGACATTTTTCTAGAACTATTTTAATAAATTAGGTGTAAAATTACTTACAAATGAAATGTGATGCCATCGATAGCACCAGAGCGTCTCTTCTCTCTTCTTAATACTTCGAAAATACACCGATTTGCGATTTTCAACATATAAGCGCACAGGACGAATGCTGACAGTATACTAACTAAAGCTACGCCCACTATGATGACGTCAGGACCTACTTAGAATCACAGTGCACAGTTGCTTATGCCGTCTCCTCTTTGTATTTGCTTCATGGGTGTAAGTATCGGTTTTTTTTTCAAGAGTAAATTTTTTAATAATAAAAAATGTGCTTTTTTTTAAATTGCCTGCTAATCGAAGCCATGACACGAAATCCTTTTTACAATAGAAGAGGCACATGTTCAGCAGTGGAGCATTACTCGCTAGTGAAGTAAAAGAAAATTTAAAAACTAAAAAGTCGAAACCAACATAATCGGTTTTGCTTATGTGAATTGATCACTATTATATGACGTTCACGTTCTACAGGATCCCCTGGCGTCGATACCCATGAACAACTGCGACATGCTTGTCATGTACACGTTCAACGATAAACTGTTCCCCGAGACACTCAACTTTATTTCTGCCGGAGGGTAAGTCTAAATAAATAGTAATCTTTATATAACTCTTCTGTCTATGTGTGTGTGTGTTATTTATTAAGTTAGTTAACTAATCAAGACATACGTGGTAGAGCCATGCTGCAGCTATTAGTAGTATAGTTGTAGCACGAATGGGTCGGCTCGACCGGGGAAGTACCACGCTCTCACAGAATACCAGCGTAAAATAACAGCTTTAAGCTGCTGTGTTTCGTATGGTGAGTGTAGAGAACCGGAGATCCTTTTTACTGGAAACGAGGCGTTCCATCTTATTTCTCACAGGTGACAACGCATCTGCATTTTGATTCGTAATCGAAGATAGATGTATGTAGATGTCTATGGGCCACAGTAACCACTTACCATCAGGTGGACTGTGTGCTCGTTTGTGTCCCTTATCCTATAAAACAAAATATTGCATGCTGAGCAATTCTTCCTTTTTACAAGTTGATTCGAGAATAGTTTAGATTCACAATTGAACCCGGTAGGTGGCGCTGTTGTCGAGATCCAGAATTCACCCGTGCGAAGCCGGGGTGGATCGATAGTAGGGGTATAAAGTATGAAGTTGCCGTTTTAAAGGAGTGGCCACTTTGAATTAAAATTAAACCGGCATAGCCCAAGATACGTGATTAAAACTTAACATTGTTACTTCAAAAAATTTATGACATTTTATTGTTTAGCTGTGAATTGTTGCTACATTCGATATTTGAGTTTGATTATTTGACTTCAAAATCAAACTAATTTTATCAAAACGTATTCCAATATGGTCCTAACGCAGCAGAGACAGGTCGTAATGTTAATGCTGCCTCTGGAGAGGATACCACTTACAAACGCACTGTTTTTGGTTTAATTGCTTACGTAGTGGTAACTTTGACCACGAGACAGACTAGATACTAAATGACGATGAATTAGAAGTAATGTCGAAAGCTGATCCTTATCAAACTATCACTCGACGAGCGTCATGACTTCACATTAGTTTACCCAAAACTTATTTTCATCAAACATGTGGAATAAGAAAACTCGAGAAATAGGTGTCTCATGAATTGGCTGATGTGCATAGAAGATAAATGCATTGAGTCTTGGCTTGCTTTCATGAGAAGGGAGGTATGTAGTAAGATGAAAAAATTGTGACGTGTGATGAAAAGTGGATTCTTCACGATAATCGAAAGCAAATATCGCAATAGCTGAAGCATGTCAAATACCGAAACAGTGCCCTAAAACGAAGTTCAACCATAGAAAAGTAATGGTAACTATTTGGTGATCACTTCATGCTTCATGCTGTAATACACTAAAGCTTTTTATGTTGAGTGTATCAATAATTGCAGGTATCTGTCGCAAAGAATTTCGAACAATGATGGCGAAACTCTCAAAGAAACAACCTCAACTCGTCAATTCACCTTCGCCATTAACGCTCCATAAATAACGTAAAACCTCACACTGCTCGACATACCATTTAAACATTACAAGACCTGCAGTAAGAAATCATACGACATCCTTCGTACTTGCCAGACCAAGCCTCAACCAATTACCGTAATTTGAATTAGAAAAAAATGTTAGTTTTCATATATTAGAGTCCTAATCTCCACAGTTCTGTCTAAAATTATAAATGATCTTCCCTCTATATGACATAAGATAATGAGGCCAAATATATCAATATAAAATGGTAATTTCATACATTAACCCCTTATATTAAGAAATACTTACACGAATTAAAATAACTTGTAGGAATGAAGTGATCGCTACCAAGCTGTTTCATTAGTAAATATACAATTGTTTACACATAACACCAAATAGGTACATCAGTATGAACATAATAAAATGTTTCGAGGACATGCGAACTCCGTAACAGCGCGCCCGACTAACTCATCTATAATACTCGCAAAAATGAGAGGTCACTTTTAGATATAACTTTATGTTTACGCGCTATTACAGCGTCCATGACCATGACTAGTCCTGATCGATCTGTGACTGATGTAACGCTTATTGCGATATGATAGGCCTAGGAAGTATGCTTGGATGAATACTCGCATAACAATTTTCTTTTTTTTTTTCACAATTGTTTGTTCTGCCAGATATTTTTAATGTAGGCTTTACTATTTACACAAATTTAAGTTAAAACTCGAAGTTGTCTCTGAGTACCGGCTTAAGATAAGTTTATGTTTGAACAGCATCATCGGGTTGTATACGACGTTCGTGTTCCTGGCGTCCCGTGTCCTGCGCAACTTCTTCTCTGGCATCTACACCAAGATCATGTTTGACGACCTTCCCAATGTTGACCGCGTGCTTCAACTCTGTCTCGATATCTACTTGGTACGTTTATAAACAACCCATATCTATCTAATTATAATGCCCCAATTACCCCATTTTATTGAAGTTTATACTGTTGAACAGCTTATTTTGTATCCGTACTTTTGACTGGGAGCCGAAGCATTATTTTTCATTCCAATGATTGGTCTATAATGTTTGAGTAGTAATGTCAATGGTGGAGTTTTCAAAACAAAAGTATATATATATTATATCTAGTACGTAATGTATAAATCATTACGCATTGTAAGAGACTGTGACATCGTATCGGTAAAGACGTCTATCAAAATTAATATCTTTTTCTGATAGATGTCGGCATTTGGTATTTGTAAAGGGCTGATAATAATATTTAAATTTCCCATGTCCAAAATTTATGTTTTCGTGTATTTTCCTATTTAATCTCTATCGTAATCGTGAACAGGTACGCGAGGCACTTGAATTGGCGCTTGAAGAAGATTTGTTTGCAAAACTAGTGTTCCTGTACCGCTCGCCTGAAACTATGATAAAATGGAGCAGACCTAAGGAAGAAGAACCGGAGGAGCAAAGAGCGCTTCCCGCACCTCCCTAAGTTTTGCCTTGTTATAGAAAACTTAGGACTTGTTAGATGGAATAAATATCAATTTTATTGACGTTTTATAAAACCAGTTAGCTGCCATCCAATATTAAAAATATGACAAGGAATTGGAAATAGTTATAAACAATATTGAAAAGTTATAAAAATTGCACTTACACATGTTTCGGTTTGGATAGATACGTAAGTTGTACAGTAAAGAATAATTAGATTACATAAGAGTAATAGCGGCGCTTGTAAGATCTCAGCCTCTTCTGTAAATTTTTGACGTTAAAGTTCAAATGAAACTTACAAATATACAAAACAAAAATGGATGCATAATATATTTACTTTTGCCTACTTGCACTATCAAGTCCTCTTTAACTGTGCACTTAATGTATTTAAATTTTCCCTTTTCAATACCATATTTTATTCCTTTGACAGCCTTTTATAAGCTCTCTTATGTAATTTTAAATTAAAATTACATTTTTGTAAGCAAGTTTTAGAAACTTGTGGACTGGGATAAGTTGCATTTTTAAATAATACATCACTCATAGAATTATTACGCATAGAATACTAGTACGCGCACGGAAAGTGAAGCAAGTTAAACTAACGCGAAACCGCGTTAGTTCACTCAGCGACGCGTCAGTGCGCAACGTCATATCTTACGGAGAAGAGCTCGCGAAAAATTGTAAAAATGACCGTTTTTGTTGTAAAAGATTGTCACAACAGTGATGATAAACATAAAAGAAGTGATGGTACTGCATTTCACATACAAGTTTATATATTTAATTCATTATAACTACGTAAAACTAAAAAAATACTTACCTAAGCTATCCTCATACAAATGTTGCTAGTTGTGGGGAAAAAATCACAATTTTCTTTTAAAAATATTTATTTTCTATTTGTGTTTAAAACGTTTAATCGCAAAGCTCTCTGTAAAACTCAAATGTTTATATATAGATACCTACTTCTCCAAGTATTAACATAATATTAACAATGGGTGCCTATTTAAAACTAATACGGAGTGATCAGATAATCGCGATTCGCCGACGCCATTTTAACGCAACTATTTTAATTGCTTTGTTTATTGACTAAGTCTACGTTTTAGAGTATAGAATAAAAACTTTTCTATTTACAACATCAAGATATTATTAATAAGAACGCCTTAACTAACCAGATGTCACTTTACACCCAAACATTAACCAGATGTTATTTTAGACCCAAACATAGTCTATTTTAACCGACTCACAAAAAGGAGAGGTTATCAATATGTATGTATACTGATTTCTAAGACAATTCTATATTTACTAGTTTATGTCGTATCACTACGCTTGAGAGTTCATGTTCTGAACATTTATTAGTGGCCCTTCACTGTGTAGGCAGCGCGCGGTAGCGCGTGCGATAGACGTAACACTAAGTTACATCCAGCGAATTTTTTTTCAGACTTTAGTATAGTAATACGGTATAAGCTAGTCTGCACGCCCGACCTACTTGCGAGATATTGCAATTGTTTTGTTTGTTTTCTCGATTGTAAATCTGCCATTTTTGCATCCTAATTTTAATAAAATAATTACTACCAAGACAAAATAATTTGACATCGGGAAAACAATCATTAAAATTTCAGCGTGTATATTGGATCAATCTGTGTGTATATCCTTTCAAATAAAAAAATCTAAATCGGTTTAGAAATTGTAGAATGCTGAGGTAAAAAACATTTTAAAAAAATACACCGAATTGAAAACCTTTTTGAAGTCGGTTAAAATTAAATATTACACAATGTGCTTATTGTATTCGAGCAAATTAATTGTGTTTAATAATATTCTTAAATTTTATTACGTCTGTATTTTTGTACCATTAAAATATGTATAATTAAGTTATATTAGTACCATCATTATCGTGTTTATTTTATTCCATTTTATATTCTCATAAAATATATCTTCGTACGTAATACGTAATCTTTATTATATCGATTTTTTTAAATTAATCAAAAAATAGTGATTTGCACAATTTGATTGCAAACGCCAGACACTGGTATCACTGAATGGCGTGTATGTGTGCGTGTGACGAGCGTAGGTACATTCGACTCGCGCCCACTAACATTATGACTTTGCATCATTTTAACGCTCGTGTTTTGTACTAGACTGCGTTTCTATGCGTAATAATTCTATGACATCACTATATTTAATATGCTTGAGTCATTTATTTATTAATTGGTGTTTTAGTAGTAAAAAAAATTACAATCAGTCAACAAAGACCAATTATAGATTTCTAGCATTTTGTTTATTATTATGATATATAGAATTTCAATCACCTACATACCTTACCTACTAGACTGCTTGTGATTTACTTCATTATGAATTAAACTATAATAATGTATAAAGTTTAACTTCAATGTATGTTATGAGATCTTAAGCTTTGAAATCAAAATTAATTGTCATACATATTAAATATGAAATATAGTTTATTCATGTTAAATTGTATTACATAAAATTTTAATTTATTTTATTAACTAGAAAATAATCTACTTGCAGTTTTTTTTATTTAATCCATTAACCTCAAGTAAATTAAGTTATTTCTGCAGTTTATATAGAAATATGTTATAAATTAATTAAATAGGTATGAAGTTTATTGTACAATTTTGTATTGTAATTGTTGTAATAAGCTGCATTTAATGTTGTCAGTTTGTGATAATAAAAATCATGATAAATGTATTTAAAAATTTTATTTATCATTCTTATAAGTATTCATAAAACATTTAGCTTACAACCATTAATCTTGGTGCAATGTTCATGGACATAAGTTCTTGGAAAAGTAATTTAGCTGCATAGGGTAATCTCACTTGGGAGATTTGGGTCTTATTTTTGCAGCCTTTACATTCAAAAGTGTTATTACGCAAATTCGCAATAGCTATCAAACCACAGAAGTTGCAAACATGTATGCGGTAGGGATCAGATACTTCAAATAAGCGCTCTCTAAGAAACTGAGCTGCACCATGAGCAATTTGACAATCACGTTCCATCTCTCCAAAACGTAAACCTCCATCACGAGCTCGTCCTTCCATAGGCTGTCGCACCAAAATTTGTACAGGACCTCTAGCTCTGGAATGGATTTTGTCATCTACCATGTGCTTCAGACGTTGGTAGTATGTGGGTCCTAAGAAAACTTGGGCATTAATTTTACGCCCTGTGTGTCCATTATACATAACTTCATTACCACGGAGATGGTACCCATATTCTTGGAGCAATGATGATATCTTTTGCACATTTACAGCATCATTAAAGGGTGTTGCATCACCAATTTCTCCCTTATTTGAAGATACTTTACCTTGGATACATTCAATCAAGTGACCAATTGTCATACGAGATGGGATAGCGTGTGGGTTGATAATGATATCAGGTGTGATACCCTCACAAGTGAAAGGCATATCTTCTTGTCTGTATTGAATTCCGCAAGTTCCTTTTTGCCCATGGCGGGAGGCAAATTTATCTCCTATTTGTGGGATACGAACTGATCGTACTCGAATTTTACAAAACTTGTAACCCTCACTGTTCAGAGTGAGCATAACTTGATCAACAATGCCAGTTTCACTGTTACGCAAAAATGTTGATGCATCCCGTTTAGTGAAGCGTTTTGTTGTGCCTTCCAACTCATCATCATTTTCAGGCAGAGTGATTGTTTTGCCAATTACTACATCATCACCAGAAACGCGAATCCCTGGGGCAATGATGCCATCATCATCCAGTTTATCATATAAAGCATTTCTCATGCCTTGACACGTCTGTCTTGTTGGTTTTTCAAATTGTTCCTCTTGGTCACCAATCCTTTTAGATTCAGAATCTTTATACGAGCGATAAAATACAGATCTGAAGAATCCTCTCTCCACAGCAGATGCATTTAAAATAACACTATCCTCCTGGTTATATCCAGTGTAACATAAGATAGCAACAATTGAATTAATTCCTGCAGGCAATTCTCTAAAACGTAAATATTCCATGGAACGTGTGGTAACCAATGGTTTATGTGGATAGTACAAAACATGAGCAAGAGTGTCCATTCTTACATGGAAGTTAGTAATATAAACACCCATGGCTTGTTTGCCCATAGCACTTTGATAAGTATTTCTTGGACTTTGGTTATGATCAGGAAATGGAATGATAGAAGCACAGACACCCAATATCATTGCTGGATGGATTTCACAATGAGTATATGTTGTACAATATGCATATTCTTTCACTTGTGCTAGATCATCGGGGCTCATAGCAATCATAACTGTTTCTTCTTCCAATGTATCAATATATTCAACCACACCGCTTGCTACTAAATTTTGCCAACCATAATTGTTATAATCCCTCTCTTTGAGGTGATCAATATGTTTTTTCTTTAACAATAAGGCTCCATTTTCCACTATTAGTAAAGGACGGCAAATTCGTCCAGCATCTGTGTAAATTCTTATTTCACGATCTCTAATATCACGAATCATGCTGACTTCAGATACTATAATGTCCATCTGACGTCTTAGTTTTCTTAACGTAGCCATCAGTTGCTCTGGATCTCTATGAATACCAACCCAGCAACCATTAACAAATATTTTTGTTGCATCTGCAATAGCTGAAGGAGCTATTTCTTCCAAATTTTCCATGGACCATTCCTCTAAAAACTCCAAAATTGGAGATGGTTGACTTCCAACAGAAATATAGGCCATTAATGCCAAGTTTTTCACAAGACCTACAGCAGCACCCTCTGGTGTTTCAGCAGGACAGATCATACCCCACAGTGTGTTATGTAACTGACGAGGCTTTGCTAATTTGCCATCTCTACCTATTGGAGAATTAACTCGTCGCAAATGTGACAATGTAGAAGCAAATGTTAATCTATTTAATACTTGTGACACTCCAGCTCTAGCCTGATGGGCTTTCTTCTGATCTCCCCAGTTACCTGTTGCAAGGGAGTAACGGAGACCATCAGTGATAATCTTTGTTTTAATAGCTAATTCCAAATTAAAATCTTTTCCCCTGTCAATAAATTTTTGAGCATACATTCTTACTTCTTTTAATAAATTCTTAAACAATCCCCTGAATAAAAATGCTAGCAAAGGCCCAGCTAGATCCAACCTTTTATTTCCATAGTGATCTCTGTCATCCAATTCACGTCGCCCTAAGGCAGCTAATAATAATCTGTGGACCATGTATCCAAGAAAATAAGCCTTTTTAGTTTCACAAAAGTCAGAGACACCAACATGAGGAAGCATTTCTTTCTGTAAAATTTCTCGAGCATATTTTATACGTCTTTCTTTTGTTACGCCTGGACGTGCTCCTCGAGCACCAATAAAATTAAGAGCTACATTTTGTTCTTGAATTACAAAAGCTTCATCTAGAGATGGCTTGACCATTTCCATCATTTCTGGATCATCAAAATCATAAATAATATGTTCCAATATATCTCTATCTGCAACAAACCCCAAAGCCCTAAAAACGATCATAATTGGGATTTCTTGTTTAATGTATGGAACTATAGCAATAATTCTTTGACCAATAGCAGACTTTTTAATGCTTTGACCACCTCGAGCCATCATATTAACCCATAATGTAGATGTAGGCCTAGAGCTGTGTTCAAGACAGGATCGAATTTCTGTTTTATATGCATATTTCCCATCTTTCATACTAAATACATACACTGTATTTGTTGCCATCTTTTCTTGTGCAATCAAAACTTTTTCAGAACCATTGATAATAAAATAGCCACCAGGATCTAATGGACACTCATTCAGCTCTGTTAAATCTCTGTCAGTTAAGTTACTTAAAAGACAATAAGTAGATCTAAGCATTATAGGAATTTTTCCTATGAATGTTTTTTGATGTTGTGTTTCTATTGGATCTTCATGTTCCTTCACTATGGTTTTCGTGATATCTACATATAAGGGAGCAGAATAAGTTAAGTTGCGAAGTCGAGCTTCGTTAGGCATCATAGGTGATGGCGCACCATCTTTTTCCCAATGCGTAGGTTTAGAAAGATATATTTGATCGAATTTCAATAGGTATTTTGGAGGAGTCTCAATTTCGCCGGAAGCGTGTTGAGCTTCTGCTTGTAGTTCTATAGGCGGAGAATCTTCTACGATGCGCTGTACAGACATCTGTATAAACTCGTCAAAGCTATCTAACTGCTGTCGTACTAAACCTTTTTCGTCAAAATAAGCATTTATTACAATCCAACAAGCTTCTTGCCAAAGCTCCGAAGAAATTTCTTCATTGTCTTCCTCCTCAAATTGGTCGTCCTCGGTATCGTACATTATGACAATTTATTCGGCGATGAAAATTTAACTTTCACTATGGAAAATTTTATAAAATGTATGATGTATTGCTTTTCAAAATTTCCGGTATATATTACTCTACTCTATGTTCCAACGCAAGCACAAGATGACTTTACACCACCAGCAAACGATTGACACCAACAAAATGGCGATACGACTTTTTAACTTTTTATTAGGATTTTGGCTTGGATGCTTGTCTTTTAAGCCATCATTTGTCTTAGTATCAAGATATCAAGTGATAATAATCCTTTATAGTAGTCTGCTTCACTAGTTGATGCATCACATTGCGCATCCCTTGGGAGATTTTGACAGCAACTTGAGCCAGCAGACAGCTGGCGATGGTATCTCAAGGCGCTTAAGCAGACAGACACCTTATTTTGAGATTCATATCACCATCAGAGCACTTGTTTCACCGTTTCCACTTTCCACTAATAGTTCACATGTGCTGACATTTAACACACAAAATCGCACCATATATCAAAATCCACTACAAAGCATTATTTAAACAATAATACAGGAGCAGCAATTCGCCGCCAGTCAAGTTTTTACATTATTACGATATAAATCAGCAAAATTCTCATCGTGAAAACTTAACTCAGCCCAAATACGTGATCTGAAACAGAGAAAATTCGAGTCAAATAGATGAATTAATCCCTACAAATAACGGTCAATAAATCCAAAATCTATACGATTTTACCACAATATTATCAAAAGATTTTCTTTTCTTAATTTGGAAAAAAATTTGATGGAATTTCATTTGGAAGTGATTTTGTGCTTTTTGCTTGCACACAACTTAACATAACTCGATTCTGATCACATATTGTGTATAAAATTTTAAAATATTAAATTATTTTATAATCGATATATCATACAGAGATAACATTTCTCAAAAATCTTTACATACACAGTTGCAAGAAAATACCTGAAAATACCTACAAATATAAAATAATGTATTCCGAACCGATAATAACTGCATTTAAGCAGACAGTAATAATTAATTATAAAATCTAAATCTATGGAATAAATGTAAAGATATTGAAATATACGTTTGAATAATAACAGCGATTTTTGAGGCTTTTAATTATTATTCAACATTTATTTTGCCTAGCAGCCTACAGTCTACAATTGAACATAAGGCGCTCCCATTTAAATACATTTAGAGGTGTTTCGTTTTTGTTTTAAGAGTATTTTTCCACAAATTATAAAGTTGTATTTTTCGTGAACCTGGTAACCCTGATTGTTTTGCACTTTTGCTTTTGTTAAAAATTAACTCAATAATATAATGAATCATTTTTGTTTTTTGTAGTTATATATCTAGAGGCTGAATTATTTTCTTGTTTTATAATGGATCCTTCAAGAAGGGGCACCGCTGAAGATCAACGCTGTATTATTGGATTGCAAGATTTAAAAATATCTAACAAAAATGAGAGCGATACTGAGCAGGCGCACAATGCTGCAACTTCCAATAGCACTATCGGAAAGGCAAGGCCTGTAGGTGCAATAGAGAGTTTCACATTAGAGAGTACCCCAATAAATCGTCAAGATTACAGCTTTTACGAACGATCAAATGTTATAGCGGCTTCGAAATTTGCGACACCAAAACGTGTAGAGACAATTGCTTCAATTAATAAATGTGATATTAATGCTGCAGCTTTGCCCAAAAGCCCTACCCGATCTGTTGATAGTGTTTCGCAAAGGTCACTAAGCTACCAAACTGAAGATTTATATGAAATACCGGGAAATACTAACACGCAATATCCTCCTCCTGTTTACGAAAATATAGATTACTATGGTGAACAACGTTCTCCGCAGCCACCATATTACCATCAAATATACCAGCATGGACCTCCACTACCTGTATCCGATGGATATTATGATACCCGGTACAGTAAAGCCCAACCCCAAGTGCCTGTAAACTCTAAAACCAAACTAATTCCTTCTGTTTATGAGAACATGATTTGCACAGATAGTGATAAAAAGAGTGAATATACGCCACAACTAGGTCAGGAGCAGCAATTTGTCCAACAAGGATCAATTCCAGGCCCACAAGTAGCAAATTCTACTTTGAACAGAAATATGTCACATATGACTAATGATAACAAAGCAAAGTCTGAAAAAGCCCCTCCTCCACCTCCTTATAATAAAACTCAAAATAACCACAGTGGTGATTATACCATAATGAAGTCTGCTCCACCTAAGTACACAGATGTCAGTGCTTTATTAAAAAGTGATAACACAGTTAGTTTTGATGATAAAGTGGTTACAATACCTTCAACAGCTATATATGCATCTATTGCACCTAGTGCTCAAAGACCTAAAGCAAATATTGCTACTGAAGTTCAAACATTAACACCAGCCCCAAAATTCTTTCATCCTAAGCCTAATATTGGCAATGGTTTAGGGAAAGATAAACCATCATCAATGACGTCACTTAATGAAGGATATAATTTAAAACCTCCACTAAACAACAGAATGCAAATTGTGGATGATACTAATGGCTCTGATTATGTATGTATGACTGGTGGATCTCCTGCTGCTGCTGTGGCCGCTGCCACAAGGGATAATGTGTCACTTGCCTCAGAATCAATTAGCTCTAGAAATTTAGTGTCTGGTCGAACATCTCTTTGTTCTCCAGCACAATCACCTGCACCAAGTCCTACACCAAGCTCTGTGTCACAAGTGTCAGCAGGTTCAAGAGGTTCTGGTGGAAGGGGCAAAAGTCTACTACCTTACAGTATTACTCCACCTCGACCTCCAGGACCTAGTGAAGCTCAGCGTAAAATTGAAGAGCTTACAAGACAGCTTGAAGAAGAAATGGAAAGACAAGATGAAGATGGAGAATATTTTGGTATGCAATGTTTTTCATAACATTAAATCAATAAACAAGCTCACTTAATTGTGAGTGGCAATTGCCATGGGTACCAGCATACAAAAATAAATTATGCTGAGGATGCATTGTTACTTATGAGGACCATGATGGATTGCTTTATGACCTCTTGCATTACTGGCTCTGTTATCCTTCAAATTAAGACTGGGAGCACATAATTAAGAGGATGACACCCTAATGGGTTCTCTAGGCAGAAAGAGTTGTACCTAATGTAAAAGTCATTATTATAGTACATATTATTATTATATGTTATAAATTAATTTAAGTGTTATATAATTTTACTTGCAATTGTTGTCACTTGGTGAAACTAGCTTCATTTTTGTGATTTGTATAAACAAGTACAAATGTTATCCAAATCATAAAAATTAAGTGTTATATAAAAAATTATTAAGAAAAATATTAATAATATTAATATTTAAATGTGGCAGAGCCATGCTGCAGCTATATTAACTGTATAGTTGTAGCAAAAATGGGTGGACCGGGGTAGTACCACCCTCTTACAGAATACCAGCGTAAAATAGCAGCTTAATGCTGCTGTGTTTCATAGGGTGAGTGTAGAGAATCGGAGACCCAGTTTAATGGAAAAGAACCATTTCTTCCTAGTCCTCATGGCTGACAATGCATCTGCATTTTGACTCGCAAATGAGGATGGATGTAGATGTTTTTGGGCCACAGCAACCACTTACCATCAGGTGGACTGTGTACTCGTTTGTCACTCTTATACTATAAAAATCCTCACAAAAATGCAGGATTTTTATAAAAATCTCACATAATCTCTACTATTTTTAAAACACACTCATTGAATTTGTATTTATTGAAATGTATTGTTTTTGAACTATTTTTGTGTCTTAGGTATTTGTCACACATGTAGAGGTGGAGTGACAGGAGCAGGGCAAGCATGTCAAGCTATGGGCAATTTATATCATACCAATTGCTTCATTTGTTGTTCGTGTGGTCGAGCATTACGTGGCAAAGCTTTCTATAATGTTCATGGCAAAGTTTACTGTGAAGAAGATTATTTGGTTGGTGTTCCCACAATTTTTTTATTTGTGAATAATTTAACATTAATATTTTTTATTAGAAGCTTTATAAAAAATATGATATTATTTTTTATTGCAGTATTCTGGGTTCCAACAAACTGCCGAAAAATGTGCAATTTGTGGCCATCTGATAATGGAAATGGTAAAATGATAATATAATAAGATTCTAAAGTACATATTGAATGTTAAACAAACTCTTAATAACTTCCTTTTCTACCACAGATTTTGCAAGCAATGGGCAAATCGTACCATCCAGGCTGTTTTCGTTGCTGCATATGCAATGAATGTTTGGATGGTGTACCATTTACTGTTGATGTGGATAACAAAATCTATTGTGTCAATGACTATCATCGTATGTTTGCACCAAAGTGTGCCAGTTGCGGAAAAGGTAAATAATAACATTTTAGGTTACAATATACATAATTTTTAAATTAAAATACTTATCTTTAAAGTCTTTGCATAATATATCATAGATTAGATGATTTCAACATTCTTATCAATGAGGGCATGACACTAAAACAAAATTATGATATTCACTCAAAAGTTTCTTATAACAAACTTTAATTATTATGTAAATTGTATAAACTCTATTTGCTAATTCAGGCCTTGCTAGTGGTCAGCAGTAGGCTCTTACAAACTAATGATGACGATTTGAAAAAAATTTTACTTATTATGAAATTGTAAAGTTAAGAAATATTTCAAAATAAATTATTTGTATTTTACAGGTATTACACCTGTAGAAGGCACAGATGAAACAGTACGGGTAGTATCAATGGACCGAGATTTTCATGTTGACTGTTACATGTGTTGTGTTTGTGGAATGCAGCTCACTGATGAACCAGATAAACGCTGCTATCCCTTAGCAGGTAAGAATTATTTCCTTAGATTCAGAAACTATTTTTGTTTTACAGAAGAGGGCCATTAGAGCTATTTACAATCTAACACCGAGAGTCTCTTAGAGATAAATTTAAAGAAATAAATATATTAACTTTGGCCTCTCAGTATATTTACGAAAATTTAATGTATGTTCACAAAAACAAAGATAGTTTTAGTAAAAAAAGTGATATACATTCTGTAAACACTAGGAACAAACACAAGCTAGTGATGCCAGTTTCTTGAGACTCTACAGAGTCAGTAATTCATTCTTGGGGCAGTGTATACGCTATTACAACAAGGTCCTGGAAAGTGTACAGATTCTCTCTATTACCAAGTTTAAATGTTTTATTAAGCTGAAACTGTATAAAAAGTGTTATTATAGTATAAATGAATACATGGTTGATAATAACCCCTAGGAATGAGGTGGTCACTTCCAAGCAGTTTCTAAAATAAATTTTGTAAATAGTTTGTAATCATTTACATTGTAAAATTTATTTAAAAAGAAGTCCCGCTGGGTTTGTTGCTGGTTCTTCCGAGGACAGAGGGTTTTTTTTTCGAACCAGTGGTAAAGTAAAAAATGACTTTCAGTAAGAATTACACATGTAATGTATATTGAATAAAAATTATTCTATTCTATTCCAACTGAACCTCGATAATGGTGTGAATTAGTCAACTGCACTGCACCCATATTGTGGCCAGTCATCCTGTCGACAGTATGCAAAAAACTTCATTCATTGATTCTTTACAGCCTATCAAAAGTGCACTGCTGAACTGTAGGCTGGTTAGCAACTGCAATTTTAATTTTTTTTGAGTTGTTATTGGGAAGATGCTGCTGTCCATCTTCTGTTACATTTCCCTCCGTTTTGGGGTAGTAGATTCTCTTACCTCCGCCACTACACAGCAATTCAAAGAAAATGTTAAATTTAGATTGTTGTTTGCACTAGGCTGTCTTCAAACTGTTTGTGTTGGTCAGAGATTCACAGCCTGACTGTGAGATAGTCACATGGTTGCTATTCACACTGTGCGTTTAGTTTTATATTTACTACCCACCACCATGTCAGCTTGTATGCATATACAATATATAAAAAAACATCCTGTCCAATCCAAAAGGGGCAGATAGGTATCACAATGTCATTACAAAAAAAAAAAAGAAAACATTATTAATGAATAAAAAATGTTATTCAAATTGTTTTTACTACAATGAAGGCATCCACGATTTTTCTGCTAACAGGGTGGCACTTTGGTATGAGGTAAAATATTTAACTTACAGTATTGGGGAAATATAACTGCAGTTGACAGAATAATTAATTGTAAGGTAACCATAAAAGTTTAAAGCCTACCCCATGATAATTAAGAACTGTTACCCATGATGGACACATGCCTCCATCATTCAATTTAGAACAGTAAAATAGTGATAGCCTCAAATGGAATATCTGTCATTATATAATTACACACTATAAAAAGCAATACTGCAGCTATATTATAGATGCAAGCAGTATGAATGGACTGGCTTGATTAGAGAAGAACCACACCTTCACAGAATACCATTGTAAAATAGCAGATTAATGCTGGTGTGTTTTTTTGTATAGTGAGTGTCTAAAATTGGAGACCCATTTTACCGGAAACGAGGCATTCCACCTTAGTCCTCAGAGGTGAGGTCCTCACATCTGAATTTTGATTCTTTATCAATGATAGATGTAGATATCTATGGGCCAATTACCATCAGCATTCTATAAAAAAAAATTAAGCAAATTATATTTTTTGAAGAACTGCACCTATGCTTGGCTATTCGTCATGAGCAGAGGCAGATGTTGGGAAAGGTATACCTACAAATGAGAAATTACATGAAAATTCCTACAAGAGGCTTTTGTTAAGAGTATAAAAGTGTTTTTAGTATTGAAGTTTTCATGTCATGCATGCATGATGCTGCTGATTTTAGACTATGCTTTTTGGCAATAATTAGTACCAATTTAACCGGAGCTATATAAGGCACTCAGAATTTAAATAATTTTTATTTCCAGGTAAATTGATGTGCCGTGCATGTCACTTGGCCACCATTGGAGCTGCAACAGGTCCCGGTATGCCTCCAGCACCACACTTATCGCCTGCTTCATACAAGTACATGGGTTAATAGTAGATCAATTGTGTGCATTTATTGTATCAGTTTCATGGTGGTCCTAGAAAATTGAGATCACGATAATTATATCAGTTCAGCAACCCACAATAATTGCTAATTACTGTCTTCAATGTGTTATAAGAACAAATTGACATTTATAAAAATGGCTTTAATGTAGGGTTTATATTAATAAATTAAAAACTGTAAGTTATTGTATTTAATTTAGTGGTATTGGGGTATGTGAGCATTCAATTTACAAGGACATATTATAAGGACTACTAAGACAACGTACTGTTCCTTTTAATGGTTTTAATGCGTAATTGTTATATAACAAATAGGTGTTAAATTTCTTGTTTATTACTGTATAAGGATATTTGCATGGAAAAATAGTCTTTATTGAAATTGTGATTTTTGACTATCAATTATGGTTGCCTACATTGCTATGTGATAATGTTAGATATTTTGCTCACTATGCTTTTATTTCATGTAATATAAAAGTGACAGTTGAATTCAGTTATTTAAGGATTTTATTTATGCAAAATGGTAAGGGTTAGAGTTGTTTATTCAGGTTTTTCATCTATAAAAAATGAAATAGAAAACAAATGCAGCATATTAAAAATCTTATAATCATAGTATTTGAAAGTAAAGACTTGAAATGAGTTGGGGGGTGACTCGAACTTTAGGCCTAGTCAGTTTGAATAGCCTATCATGTAGAGGATGTCATGGGGGTCATGGTTGAATAGGGGCTAAAAGTTCTCATTACACTCCTAGGGCGTCAAAAGGGCCATAAACCAAAAAACTGGGGGGTGGCTCGAACTTTAGGCATAGTCAGTTTGAATAGCCTATCATGTAGAGGATGTCATGGGGGTCATGGTTGAGTAGGGGCAAAAAGTTCTCATTGCATTCCTAGGGGGGTCAAAACGGCCATAAACCAAAAAATTAAAAAAAATATTTCGGCTATAACTACTCTTCCTTCAGAGGTTCTTACACAGTCTTTATTTTCTGCATCCCATTTGTTCTACTAGAAATAACATGATACATTTTTCAGAGTTATGATTTTGTAAGTCACAAATTTATATTTTGCTGATATGTTTAACTAAATAATAGTTTATTTAAATGCATTTATTAATTTAATATTTTTGTGAACATGGCAGCACACCTGGTATCCAATATTTCAATAAGTGTAATGTTATTGTAAAGCCATGTATTATCATTTGCCCTTAACCATGATAAACATTCCAGTTTTGTGCTGTCTTGTTGTGTATAGGTAAGGTACTTAATGTAATTAGCATTGTTTTATATCTGTAAATTTTGATGCATGGAAGGTGATTATTTTCATATAAAACACGACAAAATTAGATAATAAATACTGTTCGATATGGATTACTTTTATATTTATATTGTAAACAATCAACAATACAAATTGTAACAGCTTAATGATTTTTTCATTTACTCCTTCGAAGTAGATCACTCCTTAACTCCATTCAAATATGTTTTATTTTAATAAAAAAATTCATATTTTCTACTGTAGGGGTTTATAAAAAAATTCTTAATCACATCTTCTTGATTTTATCTTTGATGTTGCGTATTTCTGTTTTATATCTTTTCATTTCTTCCATTACTTGATTACCTCTTTCTTTAATTTGTGTTTGGTAATGTTGTTTACTTTCTTGCATTTTTTCTTGAAAATTTTCTCTTCTTTCTTGAAACATTTCTTTAATACGTTCCTTTGAAGGCACAGGCCTGATCCAACCAAGAGCTGTTAGCCTTTTGATAGCATAAGTAGTTCCACCTAAAAGAAAGAAAAAATATGCCATCATTATAATGTATTACATGTAATGTAAGCAAGCACAAATTACAAAATCAAAATATATAAATCAGCAACACTTACCAACAGTGACAGCATACCTTAGAGGTGTCACCAATTTATACAGTGCAAATGCAAGAGCAAAGTAACCTGCACTTGACTCTCTCAATGGTGTCATTAATTTTTCACTCACATTTAAATACTCCAATAAACTAATGACATCAAAACCACTGAAAAGAAAAAGAAATTTACATTTTTTTTTTTATAAAACTGTAGTGATGTGAACTTACAGCCCATCTGATGATAAGTGGCTGGAGATGCATTGCCACCTTTGAGGACTAAGATAGAATGCCTCACAGGCTGTAAATATACTGGCTCGCTATAACTTTCCCTTCATGCAGTGGTGTTGTAAGAGAGTGTTTATCGTCCGGTGGGTATCGTAAGAGGCGACAAGATGAAAGGAGATGGGCAGCAGCATATTCCTTATAACAACTCGAAATTATAAACTGCGGCTACCAAGTGTGGCAACTATTGCCAAATGCCCCCTGTGAGGCAATCTATGGGGATTGTCTATTTGCAGTGTGACATCCTTTAGACTCGGACACTGCTGCTTGGTGGCAGATATAGATAATAGGGTGGTATCTACCTAGACAGATACCTAGGTACAAAAGAAGACATTCTCATTATATTAAAATACTGCATTTTCAGTAGTAATTCTGAATATGGTGCATCCTGTTGATTGATGAATGAGACTCTGGAGACAGACTAATGGCATAAAATCTATCCTAAAGTGTCAATTTAATTTTTATAGTTTGGTGATGGCGACCAAACCAACCAGTGTAAGATAGCATCAGGGTCAACGCTAACAAGTTTTCAAGGTGGTGTGAGATACTTATTGTGGTGCCCCAAATGTGCAATTGCTTACTCATGATAACGTTATCCATAGAGCCGCTACTGCTATTCTAAATACAAGTTTGTTTGCTTGAATGATTGCTACTGTTGCCAAAACATCAGAACGGCTTAGGGCAAAATTATGATCTGAATAACACATAAGCTATCCTACTGCTAAAATGAATATAATAGCTATTACTATTGAGCATTAAATATACAGGCTTTACACCTGACAGATGATTTATGCAGTGTCTTTTCTGAGGCAAAATGTTCATGGTTATCGAGCCCCATAAGAGAGTGGAAACATTGACTGCATTTTCAAATAATAATATAAGCAAATACTAGCGACAACAAGAAATTCATAGTTTACCTAAATAAGTGTGGATATTAAACTTAATACAGAGCTAATGCATAAAATGGGATTTAGGATGTAATATGGTATGGAAGGGGAGTACAAAAAATGTACACCCTGCCAATGGACAACATTACTTTAGCAGATAATTGATAATGGTCGAAAAATTAACGAACATAGTATAGACCTTAGACACCAACTATTTGCTCAATATGGTGAGCATCTTTTAGTTCAATATTGCATAGCTCTTAGAGTATTCCTGGAAAGTTCTATATCTAGCACTAACAACCATGGACTTGGATAGACTTGGGGATATCATTTTTAACAAACTTCAAAAACAGGAGTTCCATTTTTTGTATATTATGCAATATCTTTGAACATGAATAGCGTTTTATGATTCTTTTTTAATAATTAGGTGATACTTTAGGGGCAGTTCCATATAAATTAAAAAAAGTACCAAAGGGTGGAAAAATAAGAAATGAAGATTTCAATGTATTTAATTGTCATTTGAGTCTGTAATATTCCTTAAACTACTCAAAAAGATTACACTTTTAATAAAAAAGTAAAAGATCACTTTAAAGAACTATAAATAATAGTTTTCAAGTAATAGCTTTTGAAGTTGTGGCTTAAACACTACTACACACTATGCCTTAGCACCAACTTCTGAAGCCATTATGTGGAAATTATTTTATCCTTTTTAGTCCATTGACCTTGGCTTTTACTTTTATTAAAAGTCTAATTCTATCTAGCAAAAGATAAATAACAGGGTTTTTAAAAAACTGAAAGTGACTTAAATTTGTTTAGCATACATACCTCTTGTCCCTAATTAGTAAGTGTTCCACAATAGCAAAGCACTAGATTAGCATGGTTTTTTTTAGCAGACTTCAGAAAAAGGTAGAGGTTAAGAATTCGACTGTATGTTTTTTAAGTATGTTAATCCAATATCTTTGCCAATAATTGTGAACAAATTTTGCTTTTTCTTTTATTAAATAGGTTATGAAAAAAATCCACCACCCCTAAGAGTGACAGTTGAAGGGATGAAGTTTTTAATGAAACTATTGAGATTGTAATATTCTTTACTCTTATCAAAAAACTACAAAAAAGGGTAAAAATATTGACTTTTAATAAAAAGTAAAAGCCTACTTCAAACAACTAAAAAGAATACGAATTTGTTTCAAATTCTGAAGTTGTGGCTTTAATTCTTCTATACAATATGTCTTAGCACCAACTTGAGAATGTGAAATTATTTTATATATTTTGTAGTTGTCTGAAGTTGGCCTTTACTTTGTATTTAAAATCAATTTTTTCAATATTATAAGGGTTTCATAGTAATAATTAAATATTAAGCATAAAGCGGCAAAATCGCATAAAATTTCTGATTGATAATAAATTACCACTCACACATTCATGGTCGTTTAAGCTAATAGTCATTAACATTAAATTATAACCATCATAAATTTAATGACGAAATCAATTACATTACATAACATTGACTTACCATAATATATATTGTTTTTAAATTTAATATTATCTTTATTGACAATTTATGTTCAAAAAGACAATAACGGAATAATTGTGAATTAAGCTAATTGTTTTTATTTTACACCCAGACCTTACCTTCTTACAGCATAGTAAAAACTTCCAAACCATATGGCAGAAGTTGTCATGTGTACCGGTAACACCACATACCAATAGTCTCTGTACATTTCTTTAAATCTTTGAATAAGTCCTTGCTTTTTAGGTTCTGCATCATTTGGTGGTTTATTAGTGCTTGAGCTACTTTGTGTCGAACACTGGCGTAATGGTGCTAGTAGTTTCGATTGATTACTATCAATTAAAGGTTTCACCACAGTGTTATTTTGATAACAAACCCCACTACCTAACATTTTAATGTGATTTGATCTTTTACAACACCATTTTGCTGGTATTGATACATCCTTAGGAAATATTTTGTTTCTATACAAAATTCTAAAAATGAGAGCCATTTTATTATTTTAATAGATATAGAAGATAATTAAATTTGATTCATTTTTAAACACAATTCTGAAGACACAAAACCACCCTCATCACTTTGTTTCTAATTTCTAATAATAATAAATTTGACATTGACTTTGTTGTTGTTGTTTTTATTATTCGCTCAAGAGAGCAGGCAAAGGAACTGAGCCATACAGCCTTATCTTTTTTATTTTGAATATATAGAATTTTAAAATGTAAAGGCCGGAACCAAGTCTTATTTTTCTTCTTACCATCTCTTCAAAAACCATAAAGGCCGAAGCCAAGTCTTATTTTCTTTAATTCTTCATATTTTCAAAAACCGTAAAGGCTAAAGCCAAGTCTTTATAATCTTTGTAAGTTTCAATCCATGTAGATGTGTCAATCCAATATTTTCAAAAACAGGGATACCATATTTCATATTTCTTTTACAGTATTATGAATAAAATTGCAAAGTGCTGAATATGTCTTAGTATTTCTAAGAACATCTTGCAGGGCACTCGGGACGCTTTCTGAGTTTTCATAAACTTGTATAAGTTTTTCAATGAGTAGCAATCTTTCTATGGCGTACGCTGGACAGTTAAATATTATTTGTTCTGCAGTCTGATCTGCTTCTGTATAGCAGAAGTTGCATGTTGCAGTTGCTACTATTCTCATCCTGGAAAGATGAACGTTCAGTCGATAGTGGCCAAACGTAAGTCTGCACATTATTGTATAAAATTTTCTGCTATGATATCTCTCGTTGCGAGAAAACCAAGGAATACTTAATTCTGAATTAATTGATGCATACCAACGACCTTTTCCTGCCTCTAAAACAGCATTCCATTGCATTTTCCATTCTTCTTTTAACTGTTGCTTTAAAATTGAATATAAATCTGTATGTGGTATTGCAACACCGGTTATCCTGTCAATATCAGCTGTAACTATACTTTTATTTAAATGGTCTGCTCTTTAATTTCCTTGAACACCAATATGTGACGGAGTCCATAAAAAATTTACTTCCAAATTATTTTCTTTCAATTTCCACCACAAACTTTTGATTTCATATATAATGAAAGACGTTTTAGCATCTAAAGTTCTTGCCTTCAGTGCCTTCAAGACACTCATGCTATCAGAGATCAGTAACCATTTATTAGATACATGTGGGTGTTCTTCTATATATTTAAGAGCGATTAAGACAGCATAACATTCTGCAGTGTATATGCTCGCTGATGCAGGAATGGAAAGACCATGTCCGGTTTTCAGATGAGGTACCTATGTAAAATGCACAGGCTACTTTATTTTCAACTTTTGAGCCATCTGTGTAAATTTGTCGATATTCATCATATGTAGATATAAGTTCATAAACCTCTTCTTTTCTTTTCAATTTTTCATCAATATTTATGTGTATATCACTGAATTTACTTCCATAATTCCCCTCATAACAAGGCCAGGTATATGTGCTTTTGTGAATATTATATTGTTCATCATATCGTATCACTTCATGAAAGTCATGGAGTATATATGGGGCTGAGTTAGATATAGAAGACATACTATTATAGTAAAATAATAAATGTCAAATCTTTGTCTCATCACCCTTTTTGAAAAATAGGGTGATGAGACAAAGAATTTTTTTTAAAATAAAAACCTAAATTTCAGATATTTAAACCTAAGTAAGATAGGAGGAGTAAGACATTCAGCCTGTAAATAAACAATAGGAGTTGTTCTCATAGAGCGGGTAATAAGTATTAAGTTCTTATTTTGTATAATATCTACTTTGTTTAATAGTTTTTTATTTGATGCAAAACAAAGGAAGCCATACTCAAAATGGCTCCTCACCAAAGACTTATATAACATTAATAATATTTTTGGATCAGCTCCCCAGTTAGTACTAGCCAAAGCTTTTAATACATTAAAGGCCTTAGAAGCTCTGTCTGAAATAGAATTCACGTATTTGGTCCAAGATAAATTATTTGTAAAAATTACACCTAAGAATTTTGCACAACTTTCTATTGGTAAAAATGTATTATTATAAATTATTCTAGTGTTGAATGGACGAATTTTATTAAATATTACAACTTTACTTTTCTCATTACTAATATTTAAATTTAAGTGTGAAAAGTAAATGTGAAATTTCTTTAAAGCCTCATTTAAAATGGTTACCAAGTTTTTGACATTTGTTCCCGAGGCATATATGACCAAATCATCTGCATATTGTTAATTAGTTACATTTGATCCTAAAATATTATTTAATTTAAAGATGTATAAAATAAAGACAAGAGGATTTAATATTCCTCCTTGACAAACACTTTTATAACTGAGCCTAGGACCAATAATTGTATTATTATTATTAACTTTAGCGAAAACTCTTCTTTCATGTAAAAAAAAAGTTAAATATCCATTACAATTTTTTTCAGGAATGCCCAAAGACCTCAAATCTGCGGCAAGTACATGAAGATTAACGTTATTAAATGCACCAACAATGTCAAAGAATATACTAATTAATACTTCATTATTTTCCATAGCTTTAAAGATGTCTAAATGAAGAAACGCAATACTTTCTCTAGATGACTTACGGCGTCTGAATCCAAACTGATTTGATGGTAAAAATAATTTTTTTCTAGATAAAACTCTAATCTACATTTTATAAGTTGCTCAAATATTTTACCCATACAAGATGTAAGTGCTATAGGTCTGTAAGGTTTTTTCCAGGTGAGGTTCTTTTCCAGGCTTTAAAATGGGTATCAAACAATCTTCTTTCCAATCGTTAGGAATAAGTGAATGAAACCATAACATATTATATATTTTCAAAACTAGTTCCATATTTTTTAAAGCTTTATATGGAACAGAATCTAAACCACAAGTAGTGTGCTTTCTAGAGTTAACAGCTGAATTGAATTCAGTCAAGGTAAAAGGTTTGGTAAGATAGTCACAATGATTATCATTTGAGGAATGAGGAGTTAGAGGTGATTCATCTCATTACATTCAAAAATTCATTAGCCCAATTAGAACCTATGACTGATGTGTTATTATGAACATAAGTTTTGTTAAACTTTTTAATGTAATTCTATACTCTAGTCAATGGAGTAGATTTATTAAAAGTTTCACATAGTATTTTCCAGCTAAGCTGTCTTTCAGTCTTCAAAGTAATTTTTATCAGATTGTAGTCTTTTAAAATTAATATAATTTCGTTCTGTGGGATCATTATTAAATACTAAATATGCATTTTTACAATTTAATACTGCCTCTTTGCATTTTAAATTCCACCAAGGTAGAGATTTTTTTTTTATTTCTTTCAAGAGATTGCAAGTTGACGTTAACATTTCGATTAGAAGACTGATTGAATGGTGTGAATTCATGCATGACTTGTTTAACTAGTTCTATTAAATCTGTATAACATTGTAAAGGATTACTATAATCAAAATTATAATTTTTAATTAAATTATCTATTAAATTTGGATATTGTGACCAATCTACCAATTTTAAGTTTATGTTATTTGATACAGCTGTTTCTTGAAAGTTTTGATTATTGACCGTAATTTTTGTCTTTACAGGAAAATGATAGCTGCCTAGAGAATCATCATCACATACTTCCCATTCACAAGACAAAGCCAGTGAAGATGAAACAAGTGTCAAGTCTAATGCATTCTGCCTCCATCTATGAGATCCTACTGTAGTCATCTGACCATCATTCAAGATTACATGATTGTTGTCATCTATACTTGCAAGATCATCCCTACCTCGTGAATCCAATTCAGTACATCTCCATAACGTGTGATGGGCGTTGAAATCACCGCTATAAAGACTGGCTGTGGCAAACTTTGGATTAGATTATCTAATTTGGATTTATTATAACTAATTGGTGAATTAGGGGGACAGTAAACACTAACTAAAGTTAATAATTTATCATTATATTGTATTTGTACAGCTATATTTTGTATTGAGTCATCAGAGAATGTATTGATAACACGAAATCCAATTTTGTTATGTAGAAGTATTGCTACTCCATTGTGATCATTACCTGTATCTAATCGTATATCTAATCGTATACCTTTTACTCTAAAATTGTGCTTAGGTTTAAGCCAAGTTTCACATATGTGAGCAACATCTATAATGTTTTCATATAAAAATTGTGTAAATTGAAAGCGATTTTTAATTAAACTCTGTGCATTCCATTGTAAAATGTTAAGCTGATCCATAAAATATTAAATGTTAAATAATGAAATATCTATTTTGGTTTCATTGTATCTATGAGAACATCTTTAACAAGCTGAGAAGATATGGTGGTTTGTTCATTTGATTTATTAAGAGTTAATACTTTAATGACTGTATTTAAAATTATATTAATAATGTCATCATTCTTTAGCAGTGACAAGAGCATCTTTAGAATTTATTTTGTTTAATTCGGGGGGAATTCGTTTTTATTAAAAAGGTCTACAAACGGGGTTTTGTGTAATTTAGCCTGATTTTCTTGTATCTTTTGTTTCTTAACAGGACACTGTCCAGAAATGCTTAGATGGTTTCCTTTGCAATGTATGCATATCGTTTTATTTGAAGAGACTTGGCAATCTTTGTAGCTGTGATTTTCAGTACAAATTGAGCATTTCACAGAATTTTTACAGTACTTTGCTAAGTGGCCTTACTTCAGACAGTTGTAGCACTGCTTCACTGGTGGAATATACTGATTTACCACGAACCGCCAACCATGAAGATCGACGTGGTCCAGCAAAACATAAGAAGCGAATGTGATGGCCACGGTGCCCGTCGGCTGCAGCAAACTGCGTCCTGCATCATTCTTATGTTTCCTCATTATCCTTTTAACACATATTATCTTCCTGTAAGTCGTTAACATACCAAAAATTCTTGAATTAGAAAGATTAGTGGGAACATTGGTTATGACTCCTGGTATTTCTGTCCCTACAACTGGGATAGATGCCTTCATTTTGTATTCATTAAGAAAAGTAATATTATTTAAAAATGCATTCGCTAGAGAGGGCTTTTCAAAATGAACGCC